AGTTAGGTTAGAAACTCTTTTATCTTTCTTTCTTCCATTAGTGCTTGACGAACAAAATGGCAAGCAAGTTGAGGAGAATATGTGCTCCCTAACTAAAGTAGGTAAGAGAGAGAAAGAAAAGGTTGAAGCACTTATTGGGCTCTTTTCCTTGATCTATTTTAGTGGACGAGAATAATTAAAAATAATAATAAAGTTCTTAAAAGAAGACCTTCAAAATTTACATTCATGATGTCTTGAATCAAATCAATCAAGTTGAGCTGTCTCTATGAGAATTAAACTTGAATTAATCGACTAATTATATTTATCTTTGATTGATTAAAGGTTGACTTAGGCAACTAATTTAATTAATTAATTTTTGCTTAATTATTATGAATTTTTAATAATATTTTTTGAGGTTAATCATCATAATTATTCAATTTATTTGAATGATTTGAAATTTATATAAGGAAATTTGATTTCATGAGCTTGAAAAAATAATTATGATGAGTACATTAATCTTATTTTATTTAGTATAAGCATAAAATTATAAAAGAAAAAAAGGCTTAATTTGAAAATAAAAGTAAATCTTAGTTAAAAAATTTGATTTTATTTAGAAATATTAGTATGTTAATTACTTTTTATTAAAAATAGAATTAGGTTTTTGTACTATAATTTGATTGTTGCTAAATAGTATTATTTTATCAAAATTGTATCGAGAAAGAAGTAGAAGTGTCAATAAATAACCCAAACAGTTAGTTTGATTAGAAAAATTTGGATTCAGGTTGACCATTTAATACACATGTTGGGCTTTTCAACCCGTTTATCAAACAGATCGAGTTCTGGTTGACATGCAAACTTATTTTTGAATTTTAATTTTGTTTACTTGTGATATAATCCTCTTAATTTTATCACATAGCCTAAACTTTATAATTAATAAGTTAAAAAATTTTACCAAAATAAATTAGCGAGTCATATTCAAATCATTCAAGATGTTAGGGGTCAAGTTCGAGTTTAACTTTTTACATGTTTATAATAAACAGGTCGGATTCTGGTTGACTATATTCGTGTCGAGTCAATTTTTAGTCAGATCTGAATATCTGATCCCAACCTATAAACCCATTTTGATAACTCTGAAAATAAGTATCCAAAATTACAAGAGATGTTTAACACTTAATTATCCAAATATAAGACCTTTTAACTAGATATTGAAAACATCAATGATTTTTAATTTCACAAATCTTCTTATAATATTATTTACACATTTTATATTTGAGCAACTCAAAAAATGTATGATTTCTATATATTGTGATAAAAACTTGCCCAAGAGAATCAAAGTTCTAGACAAATCAATTTTTGGCCCAAATCAAGCTAGAATATGAAACAATTAATACCAATTTAGTTGGAACTAAAATTGACTCAAATCAGACTATAAACAAGCTTTACTTCGTTCAAGATTAAGGTTCCATTTAGGATGGCTTTCTTAATGCTTCTTAAAGCAGTTTTTTAGTGCAAAAAATTTAATTTTTGTAGTTAAAAATCTGTTTAAGCAGTAAGAAAGTCATCCCAAATAAAGCCTAAATGACTAATTTTAACTCAAAATTTTATGAGATCTAAACATATGATTTTTTTTATTATTTATAATTGGTGGTTATCAAGCCAAAGATTCATTGATCTTTGACTTCTTAATATTGATGGCAATCAACTTAAGATCAATTCACTCATATTTTTTGTTTAATGCGAGTTAATTAATTTATGCTATATTATTCCACTTCAATTTTTAAACCTAATGATGCAATTATAAAAAGGGAAGAAAAAAATGGTTTGAAGCATAATATAATAAGAAGGAACCCATGGAGGAGAGAGAGAGAGGATGATAGAGGTGAGGCATGTCATTTGAGAATGAAATGAAGAAGTTGTTTTGAATGCTTTCAAAGAGAGTTCTTTAGCTTCTTCAAAATAGAGAGAATGTTGCTATTTGTAATCTAGTAAGAGAAAAAACTCTTGGACATAGTAGAGAATAGTACTTATTTAGACTTCTACATATTAGTGTTTATAAATAATTAGAGCACCAACAACATTACTTTCACCTCTAGTTCTAATATTTATAGCATATATTTTGCATTTTCTTTCGACTTTATAAATTAGTATTTTTTGTCCGTATCTTCAAATTTTGATGAAGTGTGATCCTTCAATCGTCGTATTTGAGACTTAATATATTATTTGATCTTTATGTGATTATGAATATAAGCTTCTTTAAGTCAAACCATATGAATATTAGTGTTTGCTATTGTTATGCATGATCTTTTTTTGTAATTAATTTAATGTTTGTAGTAATTTTTTTTTTATTTTTTTATTGTTTGTAGTAATTAGTCCAAGGTTGTGGGGGTCTAAAGTGATTATATGAAAGAACAATGAATATATAGTTCAAGATTAAGAAATTTGTGTTATGTGTGGAATCTGATTATATTGATCAGTCGGGTTATTATGTTGCCTCAGACCTCAAGTTTATCGTGCTTATTAGGGGGTGCGAGGTGTTTACCCTACGCTTTGGTTTGGGTGCTTTGCACCAAAATTTTTTTTTTCTTTCAAACAACGCCTAGGCGCTACACCTAAGCGCTACGACGCTATGTTCCCGAGTTCCCCAGCGTTGATCGACAGAGAGCAAAGCGTCACATCACTTTGGATTCGGCATAGTAGCTTTGCAAGTTTAGAGCTGCAATGCTACAAGTTTAAGCGCCACAACGTTATTAGACTAGGGCCACAACGTTGCAAGACAGATTGGATGGTTTTCTTTCTCATTTTTCTAAAAGGGTTGCGTCCCTTAAGGTTATTTACTTGACTTTCTCTTATATTTCTGATAGTGTAGACATTGAAAATGATGCATATAAGAAGAAAAGCAAGGAGGGAGTGAGAGAGAAGACATATTTGTACTTATTTCTCCCAATTTTCATAGTGAATTTCTTGGTGTGGTGTGACTCCATAATTTTTCTCTATTTTGGATTTTTTATGTTAAATCATATTGTCCTTTATTTTTCTGCTGCTTTTACTTTCTTGCTTGTTTCGTCATTGAGGTGTTTACTCCTAATCCCCAACAATTTGATGGCTCAAAGAGTTTAAAATTTTTTTAAAAGAATTTACTTCTTTTAAATGAGATGTTTTTTTAAGCTCGTGGGAGATGATAAACTAGTTTAAAGTTTATTTAGGTTGGAGAAAGATCCTATGAATAAAGGTTCTCTTTTAATCATGATATTAATGAATCTCATAATAAATTTAAGAAGATTTATAAATCCATGTAGATTTGAAGATATGGACATAAAAAACACTTTATCATCTTTGAAATCTTTTTTGCTGATGATTTCACTCAAGCATAAAATAGATGAAGTCAAATTAAAGAGATTATTATAAATCATTTAATAAGTGAAGAAGATTCATTCGATAAAAACCGGTTTAAATGTGATCGGTTCAATTGAACCGGCCAACCCTAATTACTAAATCGCACGAGTAGGTGACGGAACCAAGAGTAGCACGTGAAGCCGACCGGGCTGAATTCACACACGAGCGCTTCTGGATGGGTCGAGTCGCATTTCTGAGCAAAGGATTGAGTACGAGAATGAAATTAGACAACTTCTCACAAAAAAAAATAACTTCCTCATCTTCGTTCATTGTCTCTAAAGAAGCAAAGATTGAGAGAAGAGATAGTGAACGAGAGGAAGAAGAAGGAAGATTTGTTTGTTGAGTTTTTTCTATTTATGTATAAATCCTTCCATGTTAAACGAGGGATGTTTACTTAAAAGGCAAATGAAGAGATTTGAAAGCAGGGAAGAAGAAATTTGGAGAGATGAGAAGAAAGAAATTGTAAATTCTTCTTCTATAATTTCTTTCATTCTTTGACAATGGAAAAAACTTCAAGTAAATCTTTTCCTTATTTCTTTTCTTTTCTGTTCAAGCTGAGAGAAAGGAATTTTTATAATTTTCTCCAATTGAAAGAAAATATTATGGTTGTAGGAAGAGTTCAATTATTGTAAGCTTCGATTTGTCAGTGAAGGAAGGAAATAATTATTAAGAAGGACATCCTCCGTGAGGCAAAAGATGCAAGTTAGAAACTTAACATTTATAAGGATACAGAATACATAAATATATATTAAAGACTTATTATATGTAAATGAAATAAAAAAGAAAAAGATATATACATGCAAATTATAGGAGTTCAACCCAATATGATACTAGTTGAAAAAGCAACGTACTCATACACGTCAAATGAAAAAAGAAAATTGAAATGGTTGTAACTTTATTAGTACATGTAGATGGTGCTCCTGCACTAAATAAAAAAGGAAAAAGAAATATGTTGTATGATGACTACGAATAAATGAATATGTTATTTGATAATGATAAATAAAGAATTTACGTTATTTAAAATATAGAAATGATAAATATGAATATCTGTAAATGTAAAAGAATTAAAGCCAAATGAATATGTTTCGTTCATGCAAGTAAAATTCTTATATTAGAGGTATGATTGCAAAGTTATAGGAGTTCAACTCACTCTATTAAATTAACATTTTTAGGCAAGTTTTCTTATAAGTAAAAATGACTGAAAGAGAGGAGTATGCCTATGGAATACAACACTCAAATGATAATATATAATTTATGGTTTATATAAATATTAAGATGTGAAGAATGTATTAGTAGTTTGATGAAAATAGAAGTTAGTGGCTCTTCAATTTTAATTGGAATGTAGATGATAAACTGTGTGAATTTAAAAGAAATGTTATAATTATCCGGTTGCTTGTTTCTGCCTCGTTAGTTCGAGTATCCGGATTAGGTCATGACACGTTCCGGATGTAAAAAATGAACTTGATACCAATGTTCACAGCCATTATCATAATCATACAGACCTCAATTATTAGGTTAATCAGTTGTAGATTAAGCAATCTAGTTTTTTAGGAACAACCTCTTACTTTGATATTGATATGAACCCTTCTATAAATCGATCATGTTATCAAGAAAAACAGACTGGCAGAGATTCTTATATGCCACTATGCGGTTCACAAAAATATTTTATTGAAATGAATGCAAAATGGTGTAGAAATGTATTAAATTTTGGTTTCGTTTGGGACGGCTTTCTTTCTGCTTCTTAAAACAACTTCTTAATACAATAATTTTAATTTTTGTACTGAGAAGCTACTTTAAGAAGCAATAAGAAAGCCGTCCCAAACGAAGCCTTTGTTTATAATCCACCTTCAAATATAATTCAAACGAAAAATTTACAGCACCTGTTAACCGGTTGTTCAGACAGTGCTCCATATTAGCTCAATGTGAATCACACCATTCTTAGAGTTTATGAGATGAAACTTCTCATTGATGCGCCCATTATTGACAACATCTGCGAGCTTAAGATCAACATGGCCAAGAGATTCCTATAGAGAAAACAAAAGTATTTCAAGATTTGAAAGCAAGAAGAACTGTAGAAACATGATAAGTATGAGGGAAGTTTCATAGCTCATTCTTTCCAACCTTGGGATAACAATTTAAGCCCCTTCTTTTGCTCAAAACTTCAATGTGCATGAAATCGTTGACCGGCGGCTCGTCTAACATGAACTGAAAGCCTTCATTCCACCTTGGATCCCTGCTTCTCTTGACAACCTAAGATGAATTTAGTGAAAATTAGACCAAAATGAATATTCAGCTAAAGTTTTTGAGTGAATTTGCTTCCACTGTAATGAACTTTACCTTGGTCTTTTTGGTTTCTCCTCTAAAAAGAATTACTACATAGGGATTGTTGTGATGCTTTCCCTCAACATGTTCAGCACTTTCAATTGTTACAGAAAGAACACCATTACCAGATGAGCTTTCTAGTGAATAACTTCTTGTCAGGCTACCGGGCTTTCCTTCGCCGCCTAAAACTCCACTAGCTTCTTCTCTAAAAGGTTCATATGTCAATTCCACCACAAGCTTCCCTCTATCCTTTTTATTATGTGGATCATTTGGGTTCATGTTCTTTACAAGATCAAGTGTAATTTCCTTCATCTCATGAGGGATAAGTGAACTCAGTGGCACAACCTGCATGCCCAATTTATCATGTGCTTTTACCTGCATTATATAGTGTGTTAGAGGATGCGAATTAGAAGGGAACTAAAGTTGTACCTGATATACTAGTGGTATAATCAATCAAAAAGCTTAAGCCTATGGGTGAGGGTCAATTATGTAGTATTTTGATAGGAAACACTTGAAGAACTTAAGAATTTCCTAGCAATCTTTGGAAAAAAACGAGAATTCTCTACAAAAATCCACACGAAACGAAGAAAACAATATATAATTTGTATTATTTGATGAGATAGAAACGGAAAATACCAAGATACAATTGATCATCTATTCGAGAGGAGGATCTCTCTCTCCCAAATCTCTAGACGCCGCTAGAGCCTGGAAACCTAAGAGATCTCAAATAGCCAAACTCAAGATGCCCTAACCCTAGGAAAACAAACTATTAAATACATACAATCCAAAAGAAAATCTCTAAACGGTCCCTACATTCAAATTTTCTAACTAATTTCCTCAAAAATCCTTCCTAAACAACTCTTTTGGACTGGTCAGCTTGAGCAGCACGTACAGGAGGCGGAGAAATCCCGCCTCTATTATGCGTGAGCCGGTCCGTATGGGACAGGCTGAACTGGTCCAATGGACTGGTCTAACATATTTCTACACTAACATATTTTAAATATATCTCATCTGAAAGTAAACTCAATACTCTCATATGATTTAACACTTGCCATAGGATAAAACCACAATGATTAGCTTTAAAAGTGCAAACAGCAAGAATGCAATAAATTTTGACAATATATAGTAATCCAAGACGTATGTCTCTATAATAACAGTTACTAATTGTTGTTAAAAGATGTTAAGATGGAAATATGAAGCTTATAAACCTTTTCCCAGTCGTACAAGTGCAGCTGAAGAACTTGGGTTTGAGGATCCTTCACAATAAGCTTGAAATTTTCATACCATTCGGGATTCAGATTACTCATCTTAACTGAGGTTTTCTTTGATGGTAGTCTATCCTCACTCAAACTCAGCTTGACGTAAGGATCAGATTTACCAAGGATGTCCATCTTCAAGAGGTTAAATGCCCGTACAACCTTTACATGTAATATGCCCACTGGCTTCTTGATGGCTACACTGCAATCAAATGAGAAAAGGTTAACAAAAATTAATATCAGGAGTAAACCTTTCTTTAGTAAGCTGGTAGAAAATATTTGTAGAACTCAAATATTCCTATCAATAGAGACAAAATCAGTGAACAAACTTACAAAATCTGAAATTAAATCTCACCAAAATAATAGTTTTATAGAAGAAATTCTACGGAACAAAGAGCAATAAGATATAATTGATTCTCTGTTCGAGAGGAAGATCGTTCTCTCTCAATCCTTAGACAAAGCTAATGCCCAAGACATCAAGAAGAAAACTCCCTCAAGAACAAAATAATCAAAACATCACCCTAACCCTAATCTCCCCCTCATACTTAAGGCATACAATTAAAACAAAAAGCAAAAAGACCTAATAGCCCTTGCCGCACCCTCCTTTGGCTCCCAAATTTGAATTTGAACTCTAGTGGATCTCACCCAATCCCTCTCTCTCTCCTTCTTGCCGCTGCTCCTTCTAACCGACCCCTTAGAAGGGGCCAGCTGGACTAGTCCACTAAGGACCGATCTAACATAAGCCAGGCTATAAGCAACATTGGTTGCAACTAGTTTAATAGTCTTAAGTGAAAGCGCTTCCCTGACAAAAATTAAGGAACTTACTGAGATTTAATTATTTTCTAAGAAAAAACAGTGATCATTAATCTTGGAAAAGAGACTTAATACAAAGTTGAAACCATAATAAAGATTTTACCAAGAACTAGAATACAAGGAAAGACAAACCCAACGGTAACTTCGCTTACAGAAGATTACCTAAGATTATCCAGAATTGGTATCTCCATATCATTAGGCCAATGGTACATATTTGAAATTTCCGATGAGATCATATCCTATAAGCAAAGATCATATATATTATAGTCAATTCATACTCCAATTTGAAACTGTTAAAATTTAATTTGCTAGACTTGATAGCAATGAAATGAATCATTTCAAAGTTCCAGGATGATTGAGGTTTCGTTTGGGACGACTTTTTTGTTGCTTCTTAAACCAGCTTTCTAGTACAAAACCTCAATGTTGCCCAAATTTATGCTGAATAATAAAAGTTTAAGGACCTGAGCAAAGCGATATAAAATAGGAATAGCCATGATGTCAGCGCCAAGCAGCTTAAGCCCGAAGTCAATAAAAGGCTGCAGCCATAATTTAGAACAATCAATGAGCAACGATATATAATCTCATACAATTTATAATAAAGTAGCAAAAAAAATCAAGTATAATTACCTTTTCAACCAAAGAAATAATTATGCTTGCAAAGCATGGGAAGCTTGGAACTAGCGGTTTTAGAGTAATACGAGGGGCCAAGAATGCTTGTAAATCTAACAACTGCGCAAATATATGGTTTCTAAGCTACGTAAGTTTTGCTTTAAAAATAGAAGTACTCATTGTCACTGAATATAATATGGTGTGAAGGATTACCTGTACTGTAAATTTAAAGGAAAAAAGTTTTAAAGCCACAGTGATACTGCAATTGCCAGCCCATCGAACCTTGGGCTCAATAACCAGTTCATTTAATTGAGTCTCTATAACTTTAACACCTGTTGAAATGTAGAATCAGATAAAAGATTGGACCCTCTTAGTGGCTTCCCGAAAGGGAACATGAAATAAGGAGAGATTTCAGTAGTATCCATATCCAAGCCTAGATAAGTTCCAAGTAAGAAGGAAAAGACAATTCCCAGCGATAGATAAAATTACACGAATCTGATAGTATATACTAAAAGCATATGTTGTTAGAAATGAATAAAATGGGGGTTAGATACACCAGCTATCAAATTTATTTTTAACTCAAAAGCTTAAATATATGGGTGAAAGTCAAACACTTAGTAATTTTGCATTAATATAATTTTTAATAATTTGAGGTAGGACTAAAGCTAATATTCTCACATATATTACTAATTTCCCCTCACTGGGAGCTCTCTATATGTGAATGAAGATAAGTCTAATGATGTCTTTGTCATTTGAAGAGACTTGGAAGGATTAAAGCGATGTGGAAGAATTGATACGAAGTTTTTGATTGGGATCCAAGGAATTTTGAGGATGGTGGAAGGAGAAGAGCAAAACTAGGTCAAGGTTACCCTAGTTTTGACGGATTACTTGCCAGAGGCTTAGAGAATATTTTTCTTGCTACAACAAGATCGGAAAACCTATAGATAAAGGCTAGGGATGTTGGGGAACTAGTAGAAGAGGTTGGGGGAGAGATATGCAAGAGATAAGGAGGATATCTAAGTCTTCCAACAAGAAAGGCCCAAAGAGGTCAACCATCAAGCACACAACCGAGGGAGGATTTGAGCACCAAACACAAAATCCTACATATTTCAATCTCCATTTTTTTCTTAAAAAATTGAATTTTTGTTAATCAAAACAAATACTTAAAGCAAGACATTATGTCCTAAGAAAGGAAACTAAAAAAAGAATAGAGATTTCAAAACAAAAAGAGAGAAGGGGAGTGGGGCCGCTCCCTCGAATTTAGTTGTAGCCGCCTCCCAAGTTCCAAACAAAGAAAAAGAAAATAAAGAAAGAGAAAATTAATAAAATAAAATCCTCCCACATGAAGGAAAATATTTAAAATTTAAAACTCAAATGTTATAATTTAATATTTTAGTTTTAAATACATTTCAAAACTTTACAAATATAGACTTCATAAATATAAACTTTTCAAATATAGATTTCTTCGCTTTTCATGTCAGATGAATCTATCATGGCCTTTTTTTTTCTTTTTTTTTATTAACTCTTAAATAAATATTAAAGACTATGATTAAATATTACTTGCAACATTATCACATGACTTCATTACTCCATAATCCATATGAGCTCCTAAATCTCTCTTGGCCTTTGATCTTTATCTTGGGATGAGAAATCATGACCCTTAATCTTAATCTGATTGTAGGGCTATAATAATTCTTTTTTAATATTTTGCATCAATTTTAAACCAAAAAAATTCATAAAAAATGAAAAAAAAAAATGTTAATATTTTGCATCATTTTCTCATGATAGAAAGAGATTTTTAGAAGGATAAGGCAACCTACAAGAATATATTTTACTAGTGATGATCACTACCTACATGTATCAACTATAGTCTTAAATGAATAAGGGTTGCGCTCCACAATATTGTTGAAAGCCATCAACCTTAAATAAATGCAAAATCAATTTCAACAAAGTTTTAAAAAAATAAAATTAAGTGTTTAAGGTTGAAGATAAAAAGGAGGAACCTATAAAGAAAATCATCCATCCTAAAAAAAAAAAAACCTTCGAAAATAAAAAATAATTTCAAAGAAAATATATTAAGGCTCAATAATAAAAGATTGAAGACAAAGTCATCATTAACATCAACTTTAGCATTATCTAACTATATAGGGTTGGCATTATGAACTCTTATCTTTCATTTGTTTCTATAAAGTGTTCCATGAGATATTAAAGCTAGTCTTCACATATATTTTATACAATATTTATCTTTTTTAACTTAGTTATATGGAATTTTCTTCCTAATCCTTCCACATCCAATTTTTTTTATACGCCAAATTAGTAGATTTCCTTCTCTTCATTGAAATGTCAAACCAACTAAGTCTATTTTTCAAATATACTATCATAAAACATGTGGCCTTCACTTTCCCACTAATATAATTATTTCTTAATTTATTTATCTTAGTCCTATCGCACATTTATCTTAACATTCTCATTTCCGCCATGCTTAACTTAGCAAACAATTAATTTTTACTACCCAATAGTCAAATCCCTAACATAACAAAATAAATTAGAGTTTTATAAAATTTACTTTTACTTTTCTTGATATCCTCAAAGTAAAGGAAAATTAACTATTTTTTGAAGTTGAGATTAAGATTGAAGATCCTACGGTCATTCCCAATGCAAAGGCAAGAATATCAACAATTCAAAAGCAAAAGATGGATTTCTCTCTAAAAGATAATGATCATGAGACAAAAAAAGATGTAAAGCCAAGATTTGCATCATTCAAAATTTCAAAATCTTTGCAAAAGAAGGATTTGACAAAATGTAATCAATAATTGGAGGCAAAAACATAAAGAAGATTTCTCGAAGTTATGAAAGTATCAAAGAGCAAATAATCAAGTATGAGTTCATAATTATCTTCTTAATACTTACGGGTAAAATTGATCAAGTTTGGGAGTTCAATGGAAAACAATATGTGGAGTCTTGAAGTTTTGCATTTTTTCAAATTTTGAAGATTATTCATAATTCTACAATAACACTGTAACATCCATCATCAAATCAAGGTGATTTTCTATAAGTAATCCTTAATTTTAAGTTAAATAGTACTTATGAGTCTTAGAATATTGAATGGGGTAGAAAGTAACTAAGGTTTGGGATTAAAAAGGTAAAAATTAATAGTTTGGATTTTTTTATGTGGGCATTGTGGTGGAAGGAGATACAACGCCTCGGCACCGAGCTCTTGGAAAAATTGACAAATAAATAGGTTTGGGTGAACACCGTGGTGCGAGGTCTCAAGTGAGCATATTCTGGGGGAATCTAGAAGATTCTTTAGAATGCTGCGAAGCTAGGACAACAGAGCACCGCGATTCCAGGCTTGCCAGAGAAGGGAGGAGGAGGAAAGGAAAGAAGAGAGAGAAAGATAAAAAAGGAATTTAGAGACTAAGGTCCAAGATTCGTGCATCGGGCCAATTCATAAAATTATAGAGCTCGAGGTAAACTACTAAACCCTAGTCCCTGATTTCAATTCCATTAAATTTATAAAAAGTTATAAACAAAAATGTATTTTTTCTTGTTTTATGAAGTTTTCACTGTGATTTCTGGTATATTATTATGCTCTTTATTATGGACATTTTTGCTATATATAATTAGGTTTCAACAATTGATTTTTTTCCGAACTAAAATATATGCATATTATTGGACTGAGGCTTTTCTAGCAATAGTAGTTATATAAAAGTTTTAAAATATTTATGTGAAGATCCCTCTAAAAGTAGAAATTGAAAAAGGGAAAGCCCAATGAGCATTCTGTTCTACAAGAAAGTGGCTTTTACTGGTAATTTATATATATGCTTTATGCGTACGATATCGAATACTTAAATTAAGTACATTTACATTACATTTGCATTATGCACTCATAGCATTGGAAGAGTTAGGCTGTGATGTATGAGGAAGTGTACTCTCTGTTATGTTAAAAAGGGCCCTAGATGTACTCTCCCGGCCCCATCTGCATGGTGCATATATGGAGGGATTTTGGCCTAACTTACAAGAAATAGATGTAGAAGGTTAATTAATAATGTAAGTACTCTTCTGGCCCCATCTGTTTAATGCAAATGTGGGAGAGTTCAGCCACACCTGTTATGTGCAGGTGTGAGAGGAAAAGAAAGGTATAAGGGGACGTGAAGATATAAGCAGACATACGTCCTAGTCATAAAATTTTACATGTTAATGTTTATGCAATAAGATTATGAAATTTTCCAAGTTATGTTTTAGCAAACTCATAAATTTCTGTATAAATTATGAAGGGAAATAAAAATGAAAGTGAAATGCAGGTGGATCTCTAAAAATGATTATTCTGTGCGATATCTAGAAACTTTTGTGAAAATGATTATATGATTATAAAAATAAGTGATAACCCCAATATCAAATATACATGCTGGAATTTTGTAAATTTCTATTTTGCAAGCCTTATGTATTTTGAAAGCCTTTATATTTTTATTTGATTAATTGCTTTTAAATTAATTATTTTTAACATACATATAAACTAAGTTTTGATGTCTAAGAAGGGTGAAGGAGGAGTCTACCGAGCTAGTCAAACTTACTTTGTTCTTCTAATGTTTCAAGAAAAGTTAAAGGTCCTGCTGACTAAATCAGATGTAAAGGCACTATTTTGGGATCCGAATTCTTAAGGTATGATTTTGTAATCCAGCATTTAATATTTGATGTATAGACTTTTATGATTTGAAATATTGTAATCATATTTTGATGAAATGAAAGTAGACTACATTGTTTTTATATTTTGGGAGAGTTATTGGCTCTTGTTGTTATTACTTGTAGATGAGATTAAAAATTATAGATTTAAGAAAATCTAATCCTTCCATTAAATTCTAGGTCGTTACAAACACGATCTTCTAACCCTATACATGCTATAACAATCAAGTAAATTACATATTTTTCAGTTATGTGGTATATATTGGGTTTGATGTACTTCTAATTAACTTTTTTAATAATAATGATTAACTTTTATTAATAGTCATCATTTAGTAGGCTTTCGTTTTAACTTTCTCATGATATTTGTACGCATTTTTTAATTTTATTAAATTGATGAGTGAGAAGATATAAGTTGCAGTAGTAATTAGAAAAATTCAAGAAAAAGTGAGGCATTCCTCTTCCTTTGGTGTTTCTAATAAGTTTATTAGTTAAAGTTAATAGCTCTTTCTTGGAGTATCATCATTAGAAAATAATATATATTATTGCATGGAATACTTCATTCAATTTCAGGGATAGAGGTAAGGATATCGAAGACGCACCATGAATCGTAGGAGGAAAACTGCCAAGCGTAAAGTCGTCAAAGTCGATGGACTCTATACCATACTTCCCAATGTATTGGTCGAATGTGGGTCTCAATGTGATTCTTATTGTGTTGCATATTGCCTGTTCATAAACATCACAAAGGTAATAAAGACAAAATTTACAATGTATTCAAAGAGAAGAATATCACTGGAGGACTACCAATAAAAATGATGCAAGAGGTGAGAAACCTTATTTAAGTAGGGCCACATCTCGAAAATAAACTTGTTCATCCAATCAACCTGCACAAAACATATCATTCATCAATTTTTCTATAGAAAAAATTGATGTTTCATGATACACAATCCTAAAAATTCGTCCATCAACAATATTATACTGCAAATTACTGAACTAACACCGCCATGAAAAGTATTAATTCTAATAATCACTATCTTATATTTTTACTTGCTATTCTCACATAATCATTAGAGTTGTCCCAACTATTTGGGTTCAGCTTTGTGAGTCCTCCTCTATTCATACTTGCTAAGTGCTATATGAGGATTCAGCCTTTGCTCAGACAAACATCTAAGAACATTTAAAAGAAAATCTGCAATTACAAAATACTTCGCTATTGGCCTTTGGAACCAAAATAATGGCTGAAGCTTAAGTCCTTAACATTAAAATTTTTAAGCTCACCGAACCATTCTATACTTGTCATTTCCATGACTATGGGGTAGTACCTAATAAATTATTTCTAAATAAAAAGGGGAACTTTTCCATGACTATGGTGGTACCTATATAAAATTTACTTATAACTTAAAAAGGAAAGATTTTCCTTTACAATATTTTGTAAGTTGTAGTGTTCTAGAAGGATGAAAAATAGAAAATTTCTTCTACCATCTCAATGTTAGTACACCTAATATATACCGCAGGAACTTTTCTCATTAAACAGCTCCAACTACCTCGGCATCATATCTCCACTTCTACTGTCAAGCCGCCTGCAGCCTAACAGCTTTCCCAGAGAACATCATTACCTTTTGCTGTTATATACCCAAGGATGTAACACTGTTTCTATAATGAATACAAGATAATATTCTACAACTTTCCTGTATCTTCTTCTTCCTTACAGGTTTTTCATGAGTTCATTCATGGTATCAGAGCTTTAGCGTCTCTGTCTTTTTCCTTCTTCAACCATGGGAGATCAAAGCTCTTCTATCGCCGCACAGTCGGGCTCTTCAACCCCGGCGACGGCGTCTATTCCGGCAACCGGAGATCTCTGTATCCCAGCTTCTCTCAAGTTTCTAATGACTAATCTCAAACTCATCGTCGCAAACCAACTCACGAGCGACAACTATCCCATCTGGAGGCTTCAAATCTTTCAACTATTCTCAGCAAATGGCTTTGAAGGACACCTCACGGGAAGCGTGCTGAAACCATCCGCTGAAAGCAGCTCAAACGAACTTCGACAGTGGAACATGATAGATCAAAATCTGATATCTGCTCTTCTCTCCACTATTTCACCGTCGATCTTACCCTATCATTTTGACATTAAAGTCGGCCAAAGAGATCTGGAGCACACTTGAGCTTCGTCTTCAACCTACCAATAAATCACGCGTGATACAACTGAAGAATGAGTTGTATCACATACAAATGAAGGATCTCTCAATGATGCAGTACCTAGCGAAGGTGAAGGCGCTGGTAGACAACATCGCTGCTGCGGGCTCATTTCTTGATCCTGAAGAGATTATTCTCCACATCCTTAATGGATTGCCTCCTTCCTACAACTCGTTTAAGACGTCTATTCGAACCAGCCAGCTTCCTATCAACTTAGACGTCTTGTACACACTTCTCTGCAGTGAAGAGATTCACATTGGTACCGACATTCAGCGAGACTCAAATCAGGTCACAGACAATACCGCATTCTATGCCAACCGAACAAATACATCCAGAGGACGCTCTGGATACAGGGGAAGCAGAGGTCGTGGAGCTCCATTCAAGCCAAATTCAGCTCACATCATCCCTACTAATTCAAGCCGACCCATATGTCAAATATGCGGAAAAACGGGACACAATGCCTCCATCTGCTGGCACCGATTTGATTCGGCTTATACCAGTCCAACAGCTTCTACATCGCGAGCTCTGCTTGCAAATCAGCAACCAACATCACTCAATGAATGGGTACTTGATTCTGGAGCTTCAACGCATCTTACGCCTGACGCCTCACACATACAGCAACTCGTTCCTTACACAGGTTCAGAGTCCGTTTCAATAGCAAATGGCAGTTCTCTTCCCATTCACAACTCTGGACAAGGGCTTCTTCCTCTCCCTGACTCTAATCGTAAGCTCTATCTTAAAAATCTTCTTCATGTTCCTCTTCTAACTCATAATCTTCTTTCAATCCACAAACTAACAACTGACAATAACTGCTCCATCTCTTTCGATTCACATGGCTTTCTTATCAAGGATCTTCAGGACAACCGAATCCTCATCCGTGGTCGATGTCGTAACGGACTCTACTCTGTCACTCCGCCATCCGCTCTTCACACAACCACCTCATCCAACGACCACTGGCATTCCCGCTTGGGACACCCGAATGCCAGAATTCAGCAACTTCTATCTAGGACTTTTCCTTCAATATGTACTTCTTTAGAATCGTTTGTGTGCAAATCATGTAATGTGGCCAAAAGTCACAAGTTGCCTTTCTCTTTGTCTTCAACTCGTGTACCCAAACCGTTTATGCTAATACACACCGATGTTTGGGGACCTGCTCCCATATCATCTTTAAATGGCTTTCGCTACTATGTCTTATTTACTGATGATTACTCACGCTTCTCCTGGCTCTTTCTTATGCATACCAAAGATGAAACTCTATCTAAATTTGAACAGCTACACAAACTAATAAATAACACATTTAATTCCAAAATAACAACCCTTCGCTCAGATGGCGGAGGCGAATACACTAGCCATGCCTTCAGTGCGTATCTCACCAAACATGGTATAACTCATCAATTCAGTTGCCCTTATACTCCTGAACAAAATGGTGTTGCTGAAAGGAAACACCGTCATCTACTTGACACCACGAGAGCTCTCCTTCATGAGGCTCATTTGCCCCACAATCTGTGGGCCGAAGCTCTTCTAACTTCCAATTATTTAATCAACCGACTATCCACTAAAGTATGCCATAATCATTCTCCTTACTATCTTCTTCATCAGCGTCAACCCACCTATAATCATCTACGCACTTTCGGTTGTCTCTGCTTTCCATGGCTCAAGCCAATTACATCCACTAAACTTCATCCTCGCTCCACCGAATGTGTCTTCGTTGGCTACTCCACGGCACACAAAGGGTACCGATGTTTCAATCCCATTACAAATCAAATTCACATTTCAAGACATGTTGTGTTCTATGAGAATATATTTCCCTTCCACAAACCAACTATCAACATCACTCCATCCACAGACTCCTCCACCACATTCCCGTTCCTTCTTCTACCCACCTCAACAATCACCCACACATCTCAACCTCCTATCTCACCCACCCAAACCGATCCTCCACCAAGTATTCCTTCTTCCTCTACTAACTCCTTCATCAACCCAAACTCGGTCCCTGCCACCACACCCGAACCTTCCATCACCAAGTCTCCACCTCTTCAACCATCCACTCACCCAATGCAAACCCGTCTCAAGTCTGGTATTCACCGTCCCAAACCCATATTCAATCTATTAACATCACTCAAAACTGATGTCACCCCCACCACACATCATCAAGCCCTCCGACTACCTCAATGGAGAGCTGCCATGTCTGAAGAATTTCGGGCTCTACAATCTCAGGGAACTTGGTCCTTGGTGTCACCTCCTCCTCATTGCAAAGTTCTTGGTTGTCGATGGACATTCAGGACAAAATATAACGCTCACGGTCAGGTACAGCGATACAAGGCCCGTTTGGTTGCTCAAGGCTTCAACCAAGAACTTGGCGTCAACTACCATGAGACCTTCAGTCCCGTGGCTAAAATGCCCACTATTCGAGTCCTGCTTCTTATTGCTCATTACCGTGGTTGGCCAACATTGCAATTTGACATCTCAAATGCCTTTCTCCACGGCGACCTTCATGACGAAGTCTACATGCTTCAACCTCCGGGATTCATTGACCGTGAGCACCCTGCTATGGTTTGCAAGCTCCACAAGGCCATATATGGTCTAAAACAAGCCCCGCGAGAGTGGTACAACAAGTTCACGACGGTTCTGTGTTCATTTGGCTTCAGCTTCAGCAAAGCTGATCCGTCACTTCTCACTTATCTCAAAGGTGACGTTCAAATCTACGCTCTCATTTACGTCGATGATCTTCTTATTACTGGCAGCCATGCCAGTATTATACAGCAGCTCCAGCAACTCTTACACAAGCACTTCTCCCTCAAACAACTGGGACAAGTTTCCACCTTTCTCGGTATTAAGTCACCCGCACCCCGATCGGAGTTTTTCTTCATCAATCTGCCTATGCTACAGAACTGGTTCATGCTGCCAATCTAGAACACAGCAAACCCGTCAACACACCCATGAGTCTAAAGCCATCAACCACTGCAGATTCCAATCTACCTTATCCCGATCCTCAGCAATTTCGACGTCTTGCAGGCTCTCTTAACTATCTTACCATTACGAGACCAGACATCGCATATGCTGCTAACCAAGTCTGTCAACGGATGCATGATCCGACCAATGCAGACTTCATGCCCTTGAAGCGTCTGCTGCGCTACATTCATGGCACAATTCATTATGGTCTCCCACTTACCAATGCCGATCTAATGCTTCGATCCTACTCAGATGCTGACTGGGCCGGCGACACCACTGATCGGAAATCGACTACGGGCTTCTGTACGTTTCTTGGCACAACCCCCATCTCATGGTGCGTCAAGAAACAGACAACCGTCTCAAAATCCTCAACAGAGGCGGAATACAGGTCTCTCTCGTCGGCTACATCTGATGTCATTTGGCTAAGACGTCTCCTATCAGATTTTCACTTACCTCCTACAGTGCCTACCCCTCTATATTGCGACAATACCTCTGCAATGGCAATCGCTCACAATCCTGTTTTTCACGCTCGCACCAAACACATTGAAATTGATTATCAATTCATCCGAAATCACATCAATAGTGGTGCTATCACCCTTCATCATGTTCACTCAGAGGATCAACCAGCTGATCTCTTCACTAAGCCGTTATCTCACTCAAGATTTCAAGCACTTCGCGACAAATTAAGCATTCAGCCCATCAATGCTCAATTTGAGGGGGGATGTTAGTACACCTAATATATACCGTAGGAACTTTTCTCATTAAATAGCTCCAACTACCTCGGCATCATATCTCCACTTCTACTGTCAAGCCGCCTGCAGCCTAACGGCTTTCCCAGAGAACATCATTACCTTTTGCTGTTATATACCCAAAGATGTAACACTGTTTCTATAATGAATACAAGATAATATTCTACAACTTTCCTGTATCTTCTTCTTCCTTACAGGTTTTTCATGAGTTCGTTCACTCAATACTTTAGAAACAAAAATACTTCAAAATTTTCATTGAAGGACTAAGAGATACAACCTATTACACAGCTGTTTACATCATAAAATCTATACAAGGATATGATTTCCCAGAAGAAATGTAAATTGGTGCCACTTCATTACAATAAACAGATCAATCCACATCATATCCTCTATAGGCAAAGGAAAAAAATAATAAATATACAGTCTAATCATAGGTAAATTTTTTCCAGAAACACAATCCAAAAAAAGCATGATAAAACAGTTTTTTTAATCATTTTCTATAACAATTTCATTATAGGCAAATCATAATCTTATAAATTTTGTCTTGAAACACAATCCAGAAAGCAAAAATTATTTTATTTTCCTCATTTTATTCCTTTTTTTTTTTTTTTTGAGGGGGCATTAGTTTGTTAGAAGTTCCCATGGTCAAAGCAACGATCACCAACCACAAAAAGAAAACATTCATAGAATTGTACCATATTCATAAAAAAGGCTAGACAAAAGCCTCCAGGTGTTTGAAGATTAGCATAAAAGGTAAAGTATCACATAAGTAGAACAAATAAAAGAGGAGAAGTTACTCTGTCATAGTCAGGATGCTTCAACCAAGCCGGAATCTCAGGTAGGACTTTATGCAAGCTCTTTGAGTCCAGGTCAATCAGAGGTCTAACAATGGGTTCCTGCCATACATACAAAGAGACAAAGTTTATATAGCAGCACTTTCATCATCCACAAAATGCAAATTGCATGAAATATCACTATTATATAATTTGATCAGCAAATTTATATAAAATGAAGAAATTAGATGTAGACAAAGAGATACTTCAAAGAAGTTTACTTTTCCAAGCAAAATTCCTCATCTATTAAAAAATACTTCAAAAAGTTTACTTCTCCAACCAAATTTCCTATTCTATTCAAAAATGCAATTTCAAAACTACTTTGGACATCTAAAGAAACAGAAGAAAATATTTTCTTCTCCTCGCAAAACCATGGCAAGACAAAAAAAAATGCAGTCTCTTATCATAAGTTCAAATGTCCATGAATATAGATGATAGTAGATAGGAAGGACACAATCCAGCCAACCCAACATAAATAAACTTCTTCATAGCCCACAAAATCAGCTCAATCCAGAACTCGAAAGCCAATTTTTATTCTCCCAAACATAAGAATGTCAAAATCATATGCACCGCATTCAAATTAAACCCCATATTAAAAAAATTTAAAAAAAAAACACACCAAAATCACCAAAAGCTCAATTTAGCTCCATAGACAGTTCCAAGCAAGCAGCAACACAAATACATTCACTAAATCAAAACCCAAAACCAAGAACTATGATTTCCTTCACATTCCCCTTCAAAATCTGGTTTTGTAGAGAGACAGAGAGAGAGATAGAGAGAGAGGGGAATAGAGAAACAAGGAAGGGCACCTTCACATCGCTGTGATTGTTGTAGAAGATGAAGAGGATGTATCCGATCAAGAGTCCAATCGGTAATCCAAAGCCAAAGCCAATGACTTCCAACAAAGTACCCACAAAACCCATCAGCTCTAAGCTGCCAATGCATCGAATCGACGATTCGGAGAAGACGGGATCGAACCTAAAAGCAAAGAAAGGAGAAGAAGATGACGGGGTCAGAGTTCAGAAACTAGAGAACAAGCTAGCTATCGATGATAACAACCAAAAACTCTTTTGTTCGGGAGGAAGAAGTATAACAAAACAAATAAATAAAGAAATAAATTCGAAAAGAACCGCCAGCACGAAGAAAAAGTACAGCCATGGGCAGCGAATGCATTTCACCTGAATCACGAAAATGCCATTGGTTTCATCGTTAATAACGAAAGATCATCCCCTGATGGTTGAATTTCTCCTCTGACTCTCTGAGTTATTATTGTTTTTATTTCTCTCTTTTTTACTGATAAGATAGTTAATACTTAATATATATGTTTCACCAACATCATTCACACACATCATCATCTATAAGACTGATGCAAATTATGGACATAAACACCATTGCTCACCAGCTTCAACACTTACCGCCACCAATAACATCGCATACACCATCGCCTATAAGGTTGATACGCAACGTCAAGAACAACGTACTCTTGACATCAATACAAATACTTATATTAGACTTTATTGATATATTATTTCCTCTCCTCAAAGGAGAAGGATTGAACATTCAGCAAATAAACTCCTAAAGACAACTCATGTTACGTGTGGAATATGATTGTGTTAATCAATGGGATTGTTCTGTTATCTTGGACCTCAAGTTTTTCATGCTCGCTGTGGGGTGCGTGGGTTTACACCCTGCTTGAGTTCAAGTGCTTTCCACCCTTTTTTTTCTTCGTACAATGTCCCGGAGCTACATACCTGAGAGCCCCAACATTGTGTTCCCGAGTGCCCCAGCGTTGAATGACAAAGAGAAGAGCGTCACTGCGGTATAGATACGGTGTTGCAGCAGTGCAAGACAAAGACTTGAGCATCGCAGCATCCCAAACTGATGTCGCAGTATTGCAAAACAGATTAAACGACTTTCTTTCTCTCTTTTTTAAAGGGTTGCGTTCCTTTTGGTTATTTTACTTAGCTTTTTTCTTGTATTTTGAGTGTGTATACATTGCGAAGTGTGCATGTGAGAAGAGAAGCAAAGAGAAAGTGAGATAGAAGAGAGATTTGTACTTCTCCCAATTTTCATAGTGAATTTTTTGATATGGTGTGGCTCCATAGTTTTTTTTTCTCAATTTTAAGTTTTTCCACGTTAAATCTTGATCTCTTTTACTTTTCCGCTACTTTTACTTTCTTGCTTGTTTCTTCATTGTGGTGTATAGTCCTCATCTCTCCAACAACTCCAATGTCATAAGACTCTTCCACATCCTCTAAGGATTTCATTAACTACACCTTAGGTCTATATATTGTTTAAAGAAGGTGATGGAAAGAAGAAGGATTGAGGATCTCTCTCTTATTCTCTATTTGTTGAAAAGTAGAAGTGTTTCCGTTAATAATAAGGTTATATTTATAATTTCTCAAGAAATAAAGCAACATATACATTTCTATAAATTTGGGCATTATGTGACATATAAAGTCAATTTTTTTTTTTAATCTATTTAAATCACGAGGCATTTACATACATATCACTTTATGTAATGTTATTTACATATATAACACCTAAAATATTAATATTATATGCCTACTACTCATAAAACAATTATGAATGCATGGTATGAAATATTAAAGTTTAGAGAGTGGTATATGAGTGATAATAATGAAATATATGAGTGATATATTTGATATTAAAATTTTATATGAATGGTAGGAATATAATATCAAAATTTTAGGTGTTAGATATATAAATAATTAAATAGCATGAAATAAAGTGGTATGCATGTAAATCCCCCAATCACTTTAGATCTAATTACAAAAAAAAAAAAATCATTTTTATCATATAAATTAATTCAAAATTCAACGATAGATATTTTTTTGTTCTTCTCATAAAAAAACATAAAATAATAATTTATTGATTATTTTCCCCCCAAAAAAAAATTATTGCTTTATAGTTTTTAGTTGCGTAATCGTGCATACAGCTGAAGGCATCGTATCAATTTCATAAATGAACTAATTTGACAAAACTATTTTATTTCATAAATTACAACATATTCACAGCATTATCAAAGTTTTGGTAAACTATAAGAGAGCTTTTCAAACATCGGAAGGTTTGATATTCTTACCCAATTTTCAACATAATATATTCTCCAAAAAAAAAAAAAATTTAAGAAAATATGTTATCATTTGACATAAAAAAATATGATATATGACAAAGAATATATTCAAAATAAATTTAATATAAAATATATTCTCACCCGATTTTCATCATAATATGCTCCAAAAAAAAATTAAGAAAATATGTTATTATATCACATAAAGATATAAAAAATATATATATCACATAAAAATATAATGATATATGGCATAAAATATATATTATATATTTTAAAATTTTGATATAAACTTTGAAAAAAATATCCTGATAAATTTTTATTTTGAGCGTGAAATTATCATATATATTTAGAGGATTTTAGTTTATTTCACTTTTTATGACAAGTATTTTATCATAAAATTATATTGAATATTATTATTATTTTTATATTATCTAAAAATATAAATCACAATATCATATAAATATTAAATTTTAAATTCTCAGATTGTGTTATTTGAAACAGTCCTAATGGGAACTTAATGAGATATTGCCTTTCCCAAATACTAATCTCCCTCAACAGCTGAAAGGTTTAGTTAGATTGGACAAATTGGGTATGCCTTATATTCGTTCCTTTTAGTCATATATCCGGCTAATCATTTTGTTTTTATTTTTCTATTACTATTGGATGTTTTTGCTGCCTGGTGCTGATTTTATTGTCGCTGGAAGTGTTTGTCTCTATCAGTTCAGGTGGATTTGCTGGAGGTTTTGTCTGGGATGGAAGTTTACATCTCGGATTTATCTTTCTTTTTACCGTTCTCTGTTTTTTCCCTGTTTTGTTTTCTGCTTCTATTTTTGCAGGTTGCTTCCACCTTGAGGAAGTTTTTGCCAGAAAGACGGGTGTAACTGCTTATCTGTTGATCTTTCTTATTTTTTTGGCGTTCTCTGATCGCCTTAGAATGTTGCTAGGTTTTATTGTATTTTGCTTAGATAGGGTTTTTTCGGCCTTTAGTTTTTGTTTCCTTTTTGAATGATTGTAGCTCCTTGAGCATTAGTTGGCTGAAAATCTCTTTAAGGAGTTGTAATTTGTTTTTATATCAACGCGTAGGCCCCTTTTGTGGGTTTCCCCTAAAAAAAAAAAGTTTGAAAATACTTTACAATTTTAATATTTCCTAATTTAAATAATTTGAATAAAATTTTTAAAGTACACACACAACACAAAAGCAAATATATTGTCAACATATAGGGTAAAAATGATGAAAATAAAGGAAATTATATAGTGAAAAATATCTTTTAATAATAAAATAATAGATATATATTGCTAAGAACATTTGTATATAATAATATAAAAAAATCTCCCATTCAGGGAACAATAAGTGCAGTTGTTGTTTGATCCAATTTTGTTCTTGGGTGACACCTGATTTTAATAACAGTTAAGCTCTAGGAAAAACTTGAGAACTTATATGAGAATATTGGGGAAAAAAGAGAGAAAAAATCTGAATGAAGGAATCCACTAGCTCAAGTATTTATATATAGTTCAAGTATCAAAGGAAGTTAAAATTGTTTAAAGGCTTCAATAGGCAAGTATGCTTACAAGTACTGAGTTGAGAGGGTTGTAGCTTACTAATGTCTAGACGTCCTTGGCAACATGTGGTAGATCTCCAAATTGAGTAGGAGTAGGAGGCGAGTGCATCACAGGGGTTACGAGCTCAGTGGTCAGGTGAAGTACTAGGAAGGGCAACTTGGAACCCTCTTGGTTAGATGCTTTCGTATAGCTAAGATAACAAGCATAATTGGTGATGCTCCATCACATATAATGGTGAGTGGCTATCCTTTGATGTAGTGTGTGAGTGATGAATAGAGTAATATGTGGGTCCCTTGACTGACCTAGTGAAGTGTGACTCCCCTCAAGGTGCCTTGTCGAGTTGGGTTGTGGTAGTCCTTTAGCGAGTTCCCTTGTGGACCCACGAGACACGAGCCCACTTGATAAGACATGTAACTATCTCTTGAATACCAGAAAAGACATATGCGAGGATACAATAACACAAAATCACTAGCATACCCTAATGCCATCTTCAAACTCAGACCATGCGGGAGGAGGCAAAGCTCCCTCCTATTGCTTACACTATCATACAATACTCTGAAAATTTTTTGTAAGTTATAACATGTCAGCTTTTTAAATACATGTCAATTTTAAATGGGGTTTTCATAGACATACAAAATTCATACTAATTTCCAAAAAATCATTATATCTATCAAAGATCATGCATTCTTTTTCACATCAACTTTGATATTATTTATTTATTGTTCATTTATTTTCCTTGATTTTTGCTTGTTTGTTCATCTCTGTGTGCTAAGAATAAAATCTCCACCAAATCAATCATTCAAGATTGCACAATGATTGCCTAGCTTGAAACTCTTATCATCAGGAATCTCTCTCTCTCTCTCTCTCTCTCTCTCTCTCTCTCTCTCTCTCTCTCTCTGTTGCCTAGCTTGAAACCCTTGCCATCATGCAGCATGTACACAGCGACAAATACAATCCATATCCTAATATAAAAAACATCTATATTAAAACTAATCAAAGATCTAATAAAGCAAATTAGCTTTTAGTACAGCATCTGAAACTGCTCTTAATTAATTATCTGTGTTCTCTAAGCCTAAGGGAGGGAAGATATGTCTTTCTCTTGAACGGTGTAACCTTTGTTAAAAAGTTTGGACTCCTTAAACTTTTAATTCCTATGACTTCACCATATTTATTTATTGAATTCTGATTAAAAGAAATCCAGCTTAGCACATGACAAATGATTGCAACGTTGCTTATTAGATGGCATTTCTCCCTTTTACGAGTGAAGACAGCAACCTTTCCCTGTTCATTTATAAGAATAATTGCTATTAGGCCGGTGATAACCTAAGCCATTGTGTGGTCAACATCAGCACATGAGCCATCACATTGGTGTGTGTTGCAGGACGAAGCTTCGGCTTCATTCCGGACGGTTTTCTTACTACTTTTTAAAGTAACTTACTAGTAAATAAATATTTAGTTCAAGACATTTTTTACTAGAAAGCTACTTTAAAAAGCAACAAGAAAGTTGTTTCAAACGAAGCCATTATTTTGGACGAGTTTCTTATTGCTTCTTAAAGTAGTTTTCTAGTTCAAAAAATTTGTTTTTTTACCCTAAAATTGCTTTAAGAAGCAGTAAGAAAGTCATCCCGAATAAAACCTAATTTTTTTTTTAGCAAAAGCATTAAAGCATTAGAATTCTCAAATTTTAGTTTTAATCACTAGACTATTAATTTATTGGTAAAAATAATTGGAAAGTAGTTTTCTTACAATATTTAATAATTAGATGATATATAAGTAAATACTTATTTTTATGGCATTTTTGTAAATATCTCGAAAATATGATATGGACCTAATATAAATGTTATTAACATATGATATAAATTAAAGAAGAATAAAAAAATAAACAGATTTAAAAAGAAAAAGAAGGCATATTTATCTGGATTTTTGCTTTTTTCTCTCTCCAGCTGTGCGCTCTTGGCATTTATATCATAATCATAAAATATTTAAATAAAATACTATATTCCATTTGTCTTGTTAATATTTTTTATTTTATTTTATTTAGCACTGAGAGAAGGATAAAAAGGAAGACAGATACTCCTTTTCAGGATTTTATATTTTGTAATTATTGCTGAATAAATTCAACTCCAACTCTCAAGTTTCTAATGTAATATATGATTAGCTCTACTAAAATGCTATTAACATAAAAGCTTTAGAGCCCCATCTCTTATATTTTTTAAACAAGATAGAAAGAATTGAATATGCTAAAAAGGTGGAAGATGCTGATGGAATTTGTCCATAGTGCTATCATTATCAGCCCCACTATGATCTCAGATGAACATTTTAAATTTATGTATTATCATTAATCTATATTAAAAGACTTATTAAATATTATTTTTATGCATTGCCTTAGCCAGTTTTTTATCGAAAATTTATATGCATGAATTGATATAAAGTAACGAATCAATTAACAAGTTAAATTAAAGGAGTTACATACTCACTATATTCAAGCTTTATTACTTACGTAATAAGTAAAAAATAATATTTACATGAACATCATTAAAATTTTAATAATATATAACAAAGAATATTTTCATTGACTTTATTACTTTTACTTAATGGATTTTGAGTCATAAAGCTACTTGAGGACTACTGAATGGAAGCATATTTAATAGGGGTGTCAATTTTGGGTAACGGTCGGGTTCGGGTCGAATCCGGAGCTAACCCGGGTTCAAACGGGTCGACCCTAACCTGACCCGGATATGTAAACGGGTCAGAAACTAAGACCCGGACCCGACCCGTCGGGTTGGCAGGTTGATCCAATCTGACACGGTAATGCATCTAGCGGAGGCGGGCTGCGCAGACGCTTACATGTGCAGGCTGCACGGACGCGGATGTGTGAGAGCTACGCGGACATTAACGTGTGAAAGCGAGCGGTGGGCCGTGAGTTGGCAACAGCACAGCGGGTGAGGGGGAAGCAGAGGGGTGTATGCGTGGGTGGCAGCTGACAGGCGGGCATGCAGGGGCAGCTCGGGCAGCTGCAGGTAGTTCAATTTAAATGGGTTTTTGAGTTGACCCGACAACCCATTGGATCAACTCGAACCCGACCCTTTTAAACGGGTCAAATCCGAGAATCCAAACCCGATCTATTTTAAAATCGGGTCAGGTCCAACCCAAATTTTCAGGGTCAGATTCAAGTCAGATTTTTGTGTCGTGTCAAATATTGACACTCCTAATATTTAACAATGCACACAATGGTTGTGAGATTCAATTGATAAGGAAGAGATTGGTGCTTGGGATAGAGCAACTAAGGAGGAGTAAGGGCATATTGGGAAAAGGGGCGGAACCGGCTTTAACTTTGGTGAGGGGCAAAAATACAACACAAAAATAATTAAATATTAAAAAAATAATATTATATCTCTATATATTACGAAAAGTTTTTAAAAAAAATTAAGCAAGAAAAATTAAGAAAAAATGTGTAATTAAACTGTTATTAAAAGCATGAAAGAGAATATTATAACTAAATGTGAAGAAATATATAGATATTTTAGGACAAGTTAGGACAAAAGAGGACAAAAGAATTTTTTAGGGGGGGCAAAAAAAAAATTTAAGGAGGGGCAAAAAATTTTTTTACTCTCTTATAATTTTTTTTTAAAATGTTTACTCCTATAAAAAAAAAAATTTTTTTTTTGAGAGGGGGCAATTGCCCCCCCTAAGCTCTTCATAGTTCCGCCCCTGATGGAGCACATAAGAATATTATGTTTAATTCTTATTTCAAATTTTATCTATAAATAAATTTCAATCATTTGATAAAAAATGAATCATGCTCTTGAAATTTTTACATAATGATGATTGAATATACAATGAGACTTCCATAAAGAAATTTAGGGAGACATTAAAATGGTTAAACAACAATGAAAGAGATAACACTAAGTCATATAATGATATGATTGATAGAATTGTTCATTTTAAGAAGGAATGAGAAAAAGTTTCCACTATGCTTTGAGTTAAAGCATTAACTTTTATTTATAGTTAGAGAAAATAAGAATGTTTGAGATATGATTGTTAATTTTTATTTTATACACCCTTTAGTGCATATCTTAGGAGGATATGACTTGTTGAACAATAAGGGATCTAACATTATACATCCAACTAACCTTATCCACATATAGCCACCCATACACACTATAAGTTGACGTAGTTAGACATACGAGTTTGCCTTATCTATCAGATAAACTCTGTGCTCACTCAAAACTCTTTAAGTGACCTTGACTATTATTGCACTCATCTAGCCAAACTGACTAACTAACCTCATCCACCAAATCGTTAGGATGGTCGAACCCAACCAACTTTAGGCTAAAACTAGGTGGATCACAAGATAACCCAAGCCTTGCGTTGGACCCACTAGGCTCAAGGTTGCACCTTAGGGACCTATGATACATCATATTCAAACTATAATCAAAATTCTAAGTCTCATTATCTATTTGATCAAACATTGTCTCAGGTACCTCTATTCTAGCTTTAGGTTGATATAGACTATACCCTATGATACTTTTGAATAAATATAATCTTTGGTTTATCCAAAGTAACTACAAATTAATTGGAAAGCTTCTATATGTAATAGGAGAACTTAGGAATAGAAAAATCACAGAGCTTAACCGAATTGCTATAATCTAATATATAACAGGAGATATAAGAGTTCTCTAGAGATGTGATCAAATATAATTAAGTACAATTATCTAATTATCGTTATATCTTTTTTACTCAAAATTAGATCCACATGCCAATTTTCATCAACTTCGCATAACCCTGACATTCCTAACATAACTTTTTAAACTCATCACAACAAATTACGAGTTTCTTATTTCATATTATGTCATTTGGATTAGAAAATACACCGATTACTTTTAAGAAACTATGAGCACACTCCTTTAGTCATATTTACATCTTTTGTGCTAGTATTTTTTGATGACATATTTGACAAATCCTTTTGCAATCATGTAACTCATTTGAAAACTATTTAGGATTATCTCAAGCACATAACTTTTTTTTTTTGCTAAACACTCAATATATGTTTTTGTTACTTCCAAACACTAAAAAAAATGAATTATTTCCGCACTTTAAATTAGCATTAGTAGTTTTAACCGCCACAAAATATTTATTGCTGTAGTTTCAAAATCGGTGATTGGTATCCACTGAAAGGCATTTAGCAACAGTTTTACTACTGGAGAAGAACTAAAATATATTAATTTTTGTGGCATTTTAACCGCCACTAATCATCAATTTAACCGCCACTAATCCACATATTATTTCCAATTTAAAAACTAAGAAAGTCTTATAGAATAATAATTTTATAAATTAAATACACACAAAATTCATATAATTTAGAATAATAATTATTAAATATATATTTCATTACAAAATAAAAAAATCTCTTCTTAGTTTTTATCTTTCATATTATTCATCATTCCCACCACCATTATTTATTTAGCTGTTAGGCTGATCGAGCGAGCGTTGAACGCGGGAGAACTTCCAACCTCCGTCTCCATCCGCTCTTTGAGGAAGAACGAACCAAATTCTACGGACCACACCAACTCCACCAGCTCCAGCTCGGTAGGTGCAGGAAGGTGACACCTTTACTATAAATACCGATGCGATCCCACTCTCCTACCTGTCAAGCGTATTGGGATCTCGGTATCGCTCGTTATTGATACCAGGCTTCCTGTTCTTCTCGCGGAAATGGCGTCCGAGGGTATTCTGCTGGGAATGGGGAACCCCCTTCTCGATATCTCTGCGGTCGTCGACGACGAGTTTCTCCAGAAGTAATTTTGGCCTGACTCTCAGATCTCTTAGTTTCTGTCTTTCTTCCGGTGTTCGTGCTGTGACAATCATTCAGTTTGTTTAATAAGCATTGATTTCATGATTTTATTAATGCGCGGGTTAGGAGTTGTGCTATTTTAGGGGTATTCTGATAGTGTTACATTAGATCTGAGCTGATGTGATGCAGATCTTGTTGTTAGGTTTGAGATCTAAGGTGTTTGAACTTAGGATAGATATCGATCTGTGGTAGATTTAGGGCGAGGAATAGTGTTTGGGAAGTTTTAATTGCGTTGTGGGGGTTTGGTTTTGATGATTTCTTAGTTATGTAGCTTCGCGTCTTTGATTTCCGCTCAGTTGAGCATATGGAATATGGCTGAAACTCGTGCATTTATTTATTTGCTTGCTGTGTTTATCGTCTATACTCGTTCGCAAAAGATATGGGTTTTACTGGAGCCATTTAGTCCGATGAAGCTTTACCTTTCCTTTCTCCCTCTCTACTCCTAGATTTATTCTGTTCTTTATTTTGACGAATACTGGTGAAATTGATTCGCTCGCACATGTTTTTCATTCATTTCATTAGGCCTTGTTACATAGATTTTGGTCCGTTTTCTCCATTTCATGTTATGGAAGCTTATGGTCCATCGTTGAGCTGATGTCTTGATTCTTTGCAAACATTTAGGAGCCTTTTGAGATAACTTTTGCCTTTTATTTCTAGTTGTATTTTATATATTTATTTTTTTAAATGTAATAAAACATATAGATATCTTAAAATTTTGTTATTTTTATCTTTATCGAAAATAAAATAAGTTGGTTTAAGCTTAAGCTATGGCTGTGGCGGGGCAGTAGTGGAGGCTAGCTAGGTGATGATTGTAATGGTGGTCACTAGTGGCAGCGATGGTTGGCAATGGCTACTGTCGTTGGTGATAGTTTTTTTTTAAAAGGGGCAATTATACACACACACCATCACAACAACAACATTAAGCCTTTATCTCACTCTGTTGGGTAGACAACAGTTATATATATAACACTTAAAATTTGTATGTATAAAGTTAGTATTCTCTTACATATATCTTTCAAATTCTCACCCAAATATATATAAAAAAAATCGCAATAAAATCCCAACCAACATTTTGTTGAATTGTTACCTGCAGGAAATCAGAAAGCCAAAGAATAGCATAGCAGAAAACAGTAAACAGGGAAGAAGAAGGTTTTCATCTCAACGTGTTCTATTGTTATTATTCCTTGATACATATGTATGTGTGTAGAAGATGAGAGACTAAGACATTTGAGGCTGTGATTAATCAGTTGCTAAGCAACTTGAGGCTGTGATTAATCACTTGCTAAGCAATGATGATTACAGGGGCATCAGGTAGAGTGCATGGTAGTGATACAAGTGGATACATTGGCTTGCTTATATACAGCTTGCTTATCACCTACCCTCAAGCTAACGACATGTTCAATAATTGTTAGCTTGTTGCGTCGTGTAAGAAACCGAGGAATGGATAGAGCTTTAGTGAACAAACTAGCAAGTTGATTAGTTGTGTGCACATGGAAATTTGTAGAACATTGTTCTTAAAACAATTGTGAATAAAATGAAAATCTATCTCAATGTGTTTAATTCTGGCATGAAAAACGGGATTGTTGGCAAGTGTCATGGCGGAGATATTGTAACAAAACAAATCAGTTGGTTTAGAAACATCAACTTGATATTCTTGGAGTAGGTGATGAAGCCAAATAAGATTGGTTGCTACAGTTGTAAGTGCTCGATAGTCTGCTTATGTGGATTAGTGAGCAACGATCTATGTTTTTTAACTTGCCGAGAAATGATAGTTTTACCTAGAAAAACACAATAATATATGGTGGATTTTCTATCAGTTGGGTCACTAGCCCAATTTGAATCTATGTATGCAGAGAGTTGTAGATCAGCACAAGTAATTGGTAAACCAAAGATAATGTACCTTTAATATAATGAAGGAGTCATTTTAGAACTTTGAGGTCCGCATCAAGTGGTTGAAAAGTGAAATCGCCATGATGCCAGCAACTAAATGAGGAATATCCAACATTATTGCATATTTGGCAGGCTATAGAAGAAGTTTGGTGGAAAGAGCCACGAGCAGAAGAGGTTCGACCACTACTCATCAAGGATAAGAACGTCTACGAGAACTGCAACCTCGGATGCATCCTCGTTGAGCATAGTTGGAAGCAGGGGAATGGCCAACCCACGCAAGGATTTAGCAGCTAGATTGAGTTCTTCACTACAGAGTAGCACATAAAAATCATCTAAGCTTATTGGATTCAAATTTGTGTGAATAGCTGTCTTGAACGCCTGATAGGAACTAGGCAATCCATTGAGCGTGTAGAGTATGGTTTCTTCAACGGGTAAGGGGGAGCTAATAGATCCACTAGCATCAACTTTTCTCTTAATCTCTAAAAGATATTGCATCATGGATTTATCTTTCATGGAAATGTGATGCAACTCATTTTTTAGTTGAAGAATACGCGAACGATTAGTAGACTACAATCTACGCTCAATTGTTTGCCAAATTCCAAGCAGGAGTTCAATACGTATAGGAGAAATGTTGGAGAGATTGTAGAGTAAAGAATATATGCCAAGTTCTAACCTACAAGTAACCAGGAATAATATTCTTGGTTCAGCTGAATGTCGCCAGAAGCAGTGGAAATCATTTTAGGGGGTTTAGGAGTAGATCCATCAAGATAACCATCAAACCCATTTGCAGTGAAAAATTTCATAAACCGTGACTTCCATAGGGGATAGCTCTCTGTAGTAAGTTGTATATTCAAAACATATTTTAAATTTGTCATGAGGAATTTTAGCTGAGATGGAATGGGTGTATCTGCCATTTTCACCACGGGAGCTGCTTACATCGACGTGGAGGATGTAAGAGAAGACTCCATTGTCAAGGACTGTAGAGAAGCAATCAAAGCTTCAACACGAGCTGTCTGCCGTAGGACATGGAGGCTATTCTGATACGATGTTGAATCGTTACCTATAGGAAATCAGAAAGCAAAAGAATAGCAGAGCAGAAAATAATAAACAGGGAAGAAGCAGGTTTTAATCTCAATGTGTTCTATTGTTATGTTAGACTGGTCCAGCCGGTCCACGCGGGATCGGCCTAGGCACAACGAGGCAGAAGCCTCCGCCTCCCGTTTCAGCCGCACGCCCCGCATGGATCAAACAAAGCAATTTAGGAAGGATTTTTGAGGAATTTGGGAGGGATATTTGAATGTAGGGATTGTTTAGGGATTTCCTTTTGATTTGTATGCATTAAATACTTTGTTTTCCTAGGGTTAGGGCGTCTTGAATTTGGCTGAAATTTGAGATATCTTAGATTTAGGTTTTCTTTGGGCTCTAGCGGCGTCTAGAGATTTGGGAGAGATCGATCCTCCTCTCGAATTGAGGATCAAGTGTATCTTGCTATTTTCCGTGTTCCTTTCATCAAATAATGCAAGTTATCCACGATTTTCATGGTTTTGTGCAGGCTTTTGTGAAGAATTCTCGTTGTTTTCCGAAGATTGATAGGAAATACTTGAGTTCTACAAGTGTTTCCTATCATACTATTCCTTGATACATATGTATGTGTGTAGAAGATGAGAGACTGAGACATTTGTGGTTGTGATTAATCAGTTGCTAAGCATTGGTGATTACAGGGGCATCATGTAGGGTGCGCCTGCCATCATGTAATGAGCACATGTTAGTGGTATAGGTGGATACGTTGGCTTGCTTATGAATAGCTTGCTTATCACATTTTTCACTTTTATCTCAGTGGTTTTATCATGGCACTAGCAAATTCATAGGTTTAATAGTTTAAAAAAATAAATTGTGTTAGTTTTATAAATTGGTATGTTTTGGATGCTATCTATGTGATTGACTTGGGATGTTATGTATGTAATTGCCCTTTTTGATAACACTCAAAGGTGTTTTGAGTTTTTTAAAAAACAAACTGATTTTTTTTTAATAAAAATTAAAAAAATTACACTAAACAAACATCTTTTTTAATATAAAAATAGAAAAGAAAAGTTATTCCAAACATGCCTTTAGTTACTGAATTTAGTAAGAATTTTTATTGAAGCATATCATAAACTTGCTCCTTTTGAAATTTTTAAAAGTGCACTTTAAGAAAGAGAGGTATGTTGAGTTTGGATTCATCTTTTATTTAGGACTTACTGAACCTTTGCAGAATTTACACTGTTTGACCTATATTTTCTTGCGTTTTCCATATTGGTTCAGATACAACATCAAGTTGAATGATGCAATTCTTGCAGAGGAGCACCATTTGCCTATGTAAGCAATATATTTTATCTGTCCGAATAATTACTATTTGAACACAGAAGTTTGGGAAATAGATATACCATTTATTGCCGTTTTTGTTTTCAGGTATGATGAGCTGGCTTCAAAACATAATGTGGAATATATTGCTGGAGGTGATTGCTTTCCTTCGGCATGACCAATTTTCCTTCAGTTTAATGTTGCTCTTACACACTTCTTTTTCTTTGATTCTTTGCAGGCGCAACTCAAAACTCAATTAGGGTTGCACAGGTTTATTAGTAGTTCAAAGTGGTTTATTATAACTTGTCCTAAGTTTATGGTTAAGCTTCTCATTCATTATTTTTAATATGGCAGTGGATGCTTCAAATTCCTGGTGCGACTAGCTATATGGGGTGCATTGGGAAAGACAAGTTTGGGGAGGAAATGAAGAAAAATGTTAAAGAAGCAGGTGTAAATGTGAGTTCTTTTGCTATGTCCATTTTTCTTTTAGTATATATACATGTTGAACCAGCACTGTGATAGTAAGCAAATTATGGTTTTCATATTTAACAATACGTTGAAACAGGCCCATTATTATGAAGATGAAACTGCTCCAACGGGAACTTGTGCTGTCTGTGTTGTTGGTGGTGAGAGGTCAGTATTGGCTCTAGAACTTCAAAATTTACAATTTTTTTTAAAATGCAATAGATATCATCTAGCTCTCCAACCATATGAAATTGCTTATTATCCAATTTTTCTTTTCCTTCTTTGATTAATTTCTATAATGGTATGGTTTTGTCAAAATTAAATTTCTAATTGTTATTGGTGAATTTCCTTGGAGATGGTTTAATAAGTAGGGAACATCTATGATTATTTAAGATTTTTAGCAAATGCTAGCAAGTCATAAGTACAACAACAACAACAATATCAAGTCTTTATACCACTATGTGGGGAAGTCATAAGTAGAAATGAATTATAAAAAAATCAGGTTATTTACATGGCCTCCCTATGGCTTAAAATATTACTTTTAGTTGTATAAACACAATTTATCCACCCTTGTCGAACTCATTAGCCTTATCCAAATATTTGAGGTCATTTTTATGATTTTTGTTCCATAATTTTTTTTTTAAGTTCAAGAAGTTTAGCTTTATTTACAGTAGTCTTTTTATTACTTCCATTGAATAAAACTTTGGTATCATTTTTCCTTCCCCATGCTTATCTTTATAGTTCCATCTTGTTGTCCTTTTTGTTCTCACATCATAGAATTCTATTTTACATACAAACCATTATTGTTTTTTTTTTCCCATTATCATATTTTCAATATTTTTTACTTGTTGGTTAGCACCATCTCTCACATATAATCATTTTTAGCTCTATCTATTTTAGTTTTACCACACATTCATCTTGCCATTCTCCTTTTCTTGCAAGCTTAATGATTCTTTGCATCTAATATTGTGTCAGCTATTTGATATGTTATCACCTACTTTGCATATAATAATGAATATGTTATCACATGCCTCATTTGGACTTATCTTCACGGGCCTTTTTGGATTTTTTATGTAATAAGTGTGTAACTAAGAGTTAATTTATTTGGATGATTCTATCATAAAAAAGTTGTCTTTTATGAGATTCAATATTAATTTGCTTGTTATCTTTGTTATCTTTCCCCTTAGATGTTTAAAACCCTCTCTTAAAAGAAGGGGATGCTTGTATTATGCAGACATTATCAATGATTGATACAAGCAATTGTAAACAAGTCCTACCTCATCTCTCCTTAGTTTTTCCCTCTCATCTATCTCTTTCATTCTCTTGCCCGACCTCTCTCTCTCTCTCTCTCCTTCTCCATGCACATGGAACCAAGGATACAAATATTAATCTTGTTGCATTTGATTCTAGCTAATTAGTTTCAGAGTTGAGTCATTTCATTGTGTGCCTGCCATTTAAATTTCAATTTTCTTTTGCCTTATTCTCTCTGTAGATGCCACCCACCAAATTTTCTTGTATCTCTTGGAAATCACGGCCTCTTTGGTTCTATTTATTGGTTTTAAAATCCTTCCTTGAAAATATGGCATAAGTAATCCAAACAATACAAGCACTTTTAATTTCCTACATGACCTATTTTTTCGCACTTGCAACTTACTGTAGTTAAATAATACGTTTAATTGCCCTTTTTTATTTTCTCACCTAATCACCCCCATTACCTATTATTCTCTTTACTAAATTTGCTCTGCAAAACCTCTCATTTTAAACTTTTTTTTTTTGCTCCTCACCAAGAAACCCTGTCCCAAGTCCTGGATGAAAAAAGTGGAGGGTTGCGTTAGGTAGTCGACAGCCAGCGTAAAACTTGTCGAATAATAATGACATGATGACCTTTAATAGGACACAATGGAGAAAAATGATTCATATAGCCGACCCCACGTAGTGGGATAAAGGCTTGATGTTGTTGTTGTTGTTGTTGTTGCTCCTCACTAAGCAAACCAAGAATTTAAGCCAAAGCATCCCTCCAGCTGGCCATATCTGCTTATTCCTTCTTAAATTAGCTCTACAAATCCTCTCGTCCTAAATCATAATTTAAACCTTCTTAATAATTCTCTAATTGCCTAATTAACCCTCCTGTGCATGCCTAAAAAATTTTCTCGTAGAAATTTATCCCCATACCCAAGTTCCAACCAAAAAACAATTTTGAAAATATTTTCCCTCTTACATACTTGATTTGATGTTCTTATGGGCTTATATTATCATAATAGTGTGCAACACGGTTATTTTGATAATTAGTTTAACCTTTGAAAAAATTATAAATCCAATTAGTCACATAAATTTCATGGTTAGGGCTTGATTCTTATGATGATTATTCTTAGTGACCGATAAGAGGTACCATACTTTTCAGATATCTACTATGATGCCTATGATCTCTCCCATCCTTTATATTATCATTTGATCACATTCTTATTCGATTCATTTGTTTTATTTTTATTAATAATTTTAAGATGTGCTACCTCATTTGATGGTTTATTTTTATGATTTTTTTTTTTAATTTTGTTGAGCAGATCCCTTATTGCCAACTTGTCAGCAGCAAACTGCTACAAATCAGATCATCTAAAGAGACCAGAAAATTGGAAATTAGGTGCAACTCGAGTCTCAATCCTTAACCTATTTTTTATGAACTTTTTGTAAGATATTGAATCTGACAGACAATTTTTTTCTCTTTGAGCTTTTACTCTTTTTTGTATATATATTTAACTACAATTTTTTGTCCAATCCTATATTTTGCCTGAATTGTCTTTTCAAATTATCTAATAAGTAGTAATTGATTGAACTATTGTTTCCACAGTTGAGAAAGCACAGTACATCTATATTGCTGGATTTTTCCTTACGGTTTCTCCCGAATCCATACTCCTTGTTGCTGAGCATGCTGCTGCAAATTACAAGGCAAGGGGTTCAGGTTTTGTAAATCATACTTCTGATTCTGCCTGCCATCACCCATTCCAGCTGAATGCTATTCTTCTTGTAGGTGTTTTTGATGAATCTTTCAGCTCCTTTTATTTGTGAGTTTTTCCGGGATGCACAGGACAAAGTTTTTCCGTGAGTGCCTCTCTCTTTCATTCCAATTTACAAGACATAATAAAAGGCTCTGTTTGGTTTGGCATTTACTGAATTAATTCATTGAAGAATTTGTGCAGTAATTTCTTGGAATGCTTGTGATAGGAAACACTTAAAAATTTCAAGTAAATCCTATCAATTTCGGAAAAAAACAGCGAAAAAACTCTTCCAAACTCCAATGAAAAACAATAGTTTTTATTGCAATAATCAAAGATACAATAGGAAAATATCAAGATATAGTCGATCCTCAATTCGAGAGGAGGATCTATCCCTCCCAAATCTCTAGACGCCGCTAGAGCCCAAAAGAAATCTAAGAGATCTCAAATTTTAGCCAAATTCAAGATGCTTTAAACCTAGGAAAACAAACTATTTAATGCATACAATCCAAAAGGAAATCCCCAAACAGTCCCTACATTCAAATTTCCCTCCTAAGTCCCACAAAAATCCTTCCTAACTCGCTCCGTTGGCTTTGGCGGCTCTGTCGTGCATACAAGAGAGGCGGAACGCTTCCGCCTCTGTTCCTCCTAAGCCGGTCCCGGACCGGTCTAACAGTTTGCACCTCTTTTTGTCTCATCTTCTTCTTTTACCATGCAGTTAGTAAAAATTCAAAAACCCGGTAGGTTGGTTTTCATAGATCTGATCCTCTGCAGAACTATGTAGGGTTGTCTTGCATTAGCAGGATAATCTAGCTAATAGCTTGCGTTTGTTATTGATAGCATTACCACTTTATTTCAAGGATTGAAACAGTTATTGACATATCGTAGTTCATATCCTGATCCAATCCATGAAAATCATCGGAAATTTAAAAAATTATCACCATTTCATCATCATTATTAGCCTAATCATTACCATCTATATCGAGCTTTTTGAGTCCTCTTTCATTGTATTTATGTTCTTGTAATCAGATACGTTGACTATATCTTTGGAAATGAGACTGAAGCCAGAACATTTTCTAGAGTTCGTGGGTGGGAGGTAATGAAATTGTATACTCTCTATTCTTTGCTGATTTTCTTATAAAATGTGTATGACCGTTGAGTCAAATTTAAAATACAGACCGACAATGTTGAGGAGATTGCTCTTAAGATTTCAGCATTGCCAAAGGCATCTGGCACTCACAAGAGGATAGCTGTGATCACTCAGGGCAGTGATCCAGTTGTTGTGGCCGAGGATGGAAAGGTATATATACTATTACATTATACTAATAATTAATAACTAAATTTAACATTTGTAGATTTTTCTCTGATTATGTTTGAATTGTTGATCATTTCTCATGTTCTTTCCTTTGATGATGGCATCAGGTGAGATTGTTCCCTGTGATCTTGTTGCCCAAGGAGAAGTTGGTCGATACAAATGGTGCAGGTAAGTTCTGTTGGTTTTAGTAATTTGGGAGGAGTAAAAAGAGTAGAAAGTTGAGGCAATTTTAATTACAGAGAAAAAGATTTAAACTGTTCCTGAACTATATATGGGTGGCACACCATTTAGGTTTGATTTGAGATGACTTTTTTATTGCTTGAAATAACTTTCTAGGAATTTTTTTTTTAATTTTTTTATTAAAAAACTGCTTTAAGAAGCATGAAAAAAGCTGCCCTAAATGAAGTCTTAGGCTTCGTTTGGGGCAGCTTTCTTACCGCTTCTTAAAACAATTTTCTAGTATAAATTTTTTATTTTTGTACTAAAAATTTATTTTAAGAAGCAATAAAAAAGCCATTCCAAACGAAGCCTTAATGTGTACCTTTTAGTTTCTTGACATCTAAAATATTCTCTTGAATTTGGATTATTTTGGATTATATTTTAGGAGTCTACTAAATTGAATGTATTGGATATTTGGGACTATTCATGGCACATCATTTAGGTTCTGCTTACTGCTTAAAATAGCTTTCTAGTAAAAAAAATTAATGTTTATATTAAAAAATTGCTTTAAGCAGCAATAATAAAGCCATCCTAAACAAAGCCTTAATATATACATTTTAGTTTCTTGACATCTCAAACATAATCTTAAAATATTCTCTTGAATTCTTGAATTTGATTCAAAATAATCCAACACTAATTGAATGTATTGGATATTTGGGACTAAAATAACATCATTTAAATAGTCTAGTTTAGGAATTTCCAGTATTGTTTCTCAGCATTGTGGAGTGCACTCTTCTGCAGGTGATGCATTTGTTGGAGGATTCCTATCACAGATGGTCAAGCAGAAGAGCATAGATGACTGCATAAGGGCTGGTTCCTATGCTGCCAATGTTATTATTCAAAGGTCAGGCTGCACTTACCCTGAGAAACCAGACTTCAAATGAAAGAAAGACATAAGCTTCGTTTGGGACAGCTTTCATTATACTTCTTAAAGCAGCTTTCTACTACAAATTCTTTTAATTTTGTACTAGAAAGCTGCTTTAAGAAGCAGAAAGAAAGCCGTCCCAAACAAAGCCATAGATTGGCATAAAGATTTCTTATTCTCGGTTAGTACCCATATTCTAAGTTAAGATTGGCACTCCATGCATTTAGAGATTTTATCTGATTAGCTTTGTGAGGTGAGACTCTCACTTATTCACTATAATCGGCTATTTTATTTTAAAATAAGATCTTCAGGCTGATGCCTGGTGAGAAGCTTGTAACACTAACATTTTTCTATCCAGTGGCTTAAAGGGAATGCTTGTTTTGAAAATTTTTATGCTTTCTTCACTTAGAGTTGAAATTTGTATAGAATTTTTGGAAGCTTTATTCACTTCCATTGTTGTTGATATGTGAGCAGTTTGTTTCATTGCTCTCAGCTCTTAAGTTGTTGATGAGATAGAGAGTAACCTGTCCATATACTTTAAGAGTGCTCTTGCAATTAACCTCCCTTATAGAATGAAGAGAAAACAATTCTTAGCCAATCAAGAAAAGTTGAAGGGTCCAAATTAGGGGTGAAAATGAGTCGAGTTTGAGTTAGAGCCAAATCCCGAGCTCAAACTCGAGTCGAGCTCGAGTTTGTCTCGTCCCACTGAAGACGAGCTCGTCGAGCATCTTAATTCCACGATTCAAACTCTGATTTCACATCCGAGGCTCCCCTTTCTATATCTGAGCCCCTCCCCGCAATTCACCTTCAGCTTTAGGCTTTCACGTTCGAGCCCGACCCTGTGATTCATCCTTACACTTCAACCTTATGCGATCCGATTATGAACTCGAGTCACTCAATGAGTAATAGAGCAAAGTATTTTGTGGATGAAACTCTAGCTCGATAATCCAACGTGGTTAAAATTCTGCTAGGGCTCAAAACTCGATAAGCTCTACTTGCGAGTTCGTGAACGAGTTGAGCTCAAGTCAGCTTGACTCGCTTGCACCCTTATTCCAAAATGAAAGCCTGGAAGCCAAATAAATTGCATTCTTGTTGCCAATAGCATCCAATTTCTCCAGCAAATGGGACTTTTAATAGGCTAAGAAGCTGCATTGCTGGGCTATCGAACTCAAAAAAATAATTTAGTCCAGTAATCTGCTTAAGCTTTTAAATCACAATCTACCACAAAGACTTGAACCTGAAGGGATTAGTTGTGATGTGGACTATTAGTTACAAATTATTTTGGAGAAATCAGAGGCCCAATCCCTTTCCAAGACTTAAAAGTTCAGACTTTCTCAAAGGAATTGCAAACTTTTCTTCTCATTTCAAAAAGTCTTGTGTTTTTATTATTTTTTAAAGAAATTTTATATAAAAAAATAAAAAAAAAAACTGTCCCAAATAAAATTTAAGTAATTTAAAATCACTGTCTATTTGAAAACCGCAGGGAATCTTGAATTTCAGAGGAAGGATTTGACTATTGGGTTCCACCTATGGGGTCTATTGGATGGATTGATTAAAATGAGAAGAATATTATTTAATTATTTAAATAATAGATGTGAGTGTGATTTTAACTTCAATTTTTTTATAGATTTGGTAGCTTCATTATAATAATCCATATGGAAATTTCTTCATGAATAAGGAGACAAACATTAATAGTCTTGATGTCATTAAAGTAAAAATAAAAATAAAAAATTTACGATCAGGCAATATATATACATATATTACATATATTGCTCTTGATATAAATATTATTTATGATTATGATAATAATTGGTTGTTAAGTGAAGTTTATCAACTGAATTTTATAAGATTTTGCAACAACATTGCAATTGATGAGAGTAATTAGTTATAAAACCCTTAAAATATTCAAATTAAGAGCAACTATCATGATAACACCACCCACATAATCTCCCTCATACATCAACAACACTCACTGAGGATTCATTTGGAACAACTTTCTTATTGCTTTATGAAATAGTTTGTTAGTACAACTTTTTTTTTTTTTTTTGAATTTGAACTTTTTGTATTAAAAATTTGTTTCATAAATACTACAAGAAAAATATGATATTATCGTCGGACTTTTCGGCGACAACATATACGACGGAAAATGCGGGGGCCTTACTGACGATAAATACGCCAGTACTTTTACGGCGGTAGTTCCGGCATAATTTCCGCTCTTAACTTACCGGCATATATATTGTCGGTGGTTTCGTTGGTATGTAAATTATTCCGACACAAAGTCCTTCGGTGATTACCGGCGGACTCACTGGCGTAAATTGCGCCGGCTTACTTAAACTCGACGAATGTTTTCCGACGTTTTAGCCGCCATTATTTATACCGAAGGATAATATGCCGGAAAATTTGCCAGAAAGGGCCCTATTTCGACAGCTCTGCCATCTTTTTTCTCATTTCTTTCACTCTTCTTGATTCGCTCGCTTGCGTTTGCGAGCTGCCCCGAAAGCCTTCGCGACCGGTTCCTTCTGACGTTTGCCGCCGACCCACCGAGCTTTCTCGCCATCGGCCCTCCGTTTCGTGCGTTACTGGCGCCCCGCCTGTGTGACCTTCCTCCGATAAGAGAACGTACATTCGTGTATGCTTTTTGCTTGAGTTATGGATGTTCTCACTAGACATTTGCACAAGCATGTACCTTGGTTTAGGCTTTTTGCTTTAGTTATGGATGTTCTCACTATACATTTGTAAGAGAATGTACCTTGGTGTATGTTTTTTGCTTGAGTTATGGATGTTCTCACTATACATTTGTAAGAGAATGTACATTGGTGTATGTTTTTTGCTTGAGTTATGGATGTTCTCACTAGACATTTGCAAGAGAATGTACATTGGTGTAGGCTTTTTGCTTTGAGTTATGGATGTTCTCACTAAACATTTGCAAGAGAATGTACTTGCTTTAGTTATGGATGTTCTCACTAGACATTTGCAAGAGAATGTACCTTGGTGTATGATTTTTGCTTTAGTTATGGATGTTCTCACTAGACATTTGCAAGAGAATGTACCTTGGTGTATGATTTTTGCTGATGATATTCTTCTTGTTGATAATAGTAGAGAGGGAGTTGAAGGTAAACTTGAATTATGTATGTCAAACTTAGAGTCTAAAGGTTTTCACATAAAAAGATCTAAACCTTAGAGTTGTAGGCTTTCTGGACATTTGCACTTGTTTATTATTAGATATTTATTGATGATATTCTTCTTATTTTTGTTTATGTTTATATGTATATGTTCAATATTTGGTGATGGTTTTGATTAGAGGTGTATGTTTGAATATATATTGTATTGAAACTTTTATTTGCAGGTTTTTTTTTGTAGAAATCAATTTTATTAGTCAGAATGTTGTATTTTTTGTTTATGCTACAGGTTCCGATGGATTATCCATTGAAAACTTTCTCGTCAATACAATACAACAAAAATGGGTTGTTTTTTCCAGCGCACTTTTGCACCGAAATTTCCGGCGGAAAATTTCCTAGTTCCTTCCGTCGACAGCTGTTCGACAGCTAAGGGCGGCGGATTATCTGCTTGTACTTTCGGCGTACAATTGCAATAGAAATACCAGCGGATTAAATGATGGAATTCGATAAATGAAGACGATGTATTAGCATCCTCTTTTTTTCGTTGGAATTACGCCGGAAGCACCGTCGGAAATTTTTTCGACGGTAAAATTGAGTCGGTTTATATTTTCCGATGCGCAAATTACCGTTTGATGTGTTTTCGTCGGAAATGCGCCGAAAAATAGAAGTTTTTGGCGTATTTCATATGTTACCAACGTACTCAGTAACATGACATTTTCCTGTAGTTAAAGCAGTAAGAAAGTTGTCTCTAACGAAGCCTAAATTATCACCCGGGTAAACCATAATATTTATAAACTAATCTCATGACACATCAAAACAAACTAAATAAATTACCTAATTTTGAACAAATAAACATGATGCTCACCCCCTCGAACTTCAACTCCCACAACCCTTCAGAACTTTGTCAGTTGCAAGAAGATTTTCGTTGTAACTCTGAAGGACCCACTAAGACCTTCATTCTCAATGCAAGTCATCGTTCATATGTCTTCAAAGTTTTGCAAAGTCATCTATGGCCTCAACAAAGTACCATATGCCACGAGTTGGGACAAATTCTGTTGTCTTTAGTTTCAACAACTAATCTCATAGCCACACCTCTTTATTCAAAACAAAACATCCAAGCTTTTTTTTTCTTTTTTTCCTTCTTTATCTTGAGTTCCAAACATCTTAAGCTTCATTTGAGATAATTTTTTTATAATTTTGTAAAACTGTTGTAGGAAAAAGTGTTAAACTGCTAAAGAGAAAATAATTTTTTTAAGTTGTAGTATAAAATAGTTTTCTAGTGCAAAATTTTTTGAAAGTTAGTGAAAAAGTAGTTGTCAAAAATAAATTGTAGTAGTAATCTGAAAAGTAAGTAGAAAGAAACTAAGAAAGCTTTCCCAAATGAAGCCTTAGGGTCTATTTGGGACTACTGCAACGTTTTATAAAATTGGATGTGAAGTTGTTGTAGAAAAAGTTACTCTGCTATTATGATGGTAGAAATCAGCTTTCTACCATGCACAATAGTTTATGAAAAACAATGAGAAAGCATCAAGAAAGTAATACCCAAATAAAGGCTTCGTTTGGGACGGCTTGCTTATTGCTTCTTAAAGAAGCTTTCTTGTATAAAATTTTTTAATTTTTATACTAGAAAGCAGCTTTAAGAAGCAATAAAAAAGCCATCCCAAACGAAGCCAAAATTTTGATTGTTGTCCAAAAAGCAAAGCAAACAAAAAGTTGTTCCAAACACATACTTAGTTTATTGTTTTTCTTCCTTCATCAAAATTTATTCATCTAAACTTACAAAAAATGTTTAATAAAACCTATCATTCACTAAGTGTGAAACATTGAGCTATTCATTATAATTTTTGTATTATTGTATCATTTCTCTTAATCCTTTAGCCATTAGATTATATTCTTTTGAATTATTCAAATTGTTAATCATCTTTAGGGCTACTTTTATTTTTATAGTTTAAAATATATTTTTAAATATAGTTTTATTTTTTATTATCATATCATTAAAGAGGCATTTAATTAATGAACTTATTTAACTATTAAACAATTTTAAAAGTGGAAAATGAGTCATAATAAGTCACTAAATAAAAGGGCTGACTATGACATTGTTGATTGATGAGTAGGATTAGGTCTTACAATCTATCTTTTAAAGCATGCCATCATTTTACAATTACACAAATGATAAAGTAATAATTTTAAAAATAAATTATATTAGTTGGTAATGGGATGTGACTCATAAAAAAGGTGAATAATTTAAGGCTAGATGAGATAGAATATTGAATCATGCATGTGCTAAGAAAGAACCCTAGCTCTAAGGTTTTGCAATTAATTAGCCTCTATTTTGTTGGTTTATTGTATATTACTTGTAATTGAACTCTTAATTTTTGAAAGTGTAAGAAATGAGTAATTTGAATATGATTATAGTCTTCCAATCACTGATTTGATTATAGGATCCTTTAACTATTTTTGCTCTATTATGGTCCTCTGAACGTCGTTATATAGCTATAGACATTCGATCGCAGTCACCTAGCATAGCCTCTTGATCACTTTTGCCCGAGTACAATCTCTCGACTATTATCACCCTGACGACATACACGTCGGCTGGTTTTGCCTTTAAGGCATATGCACACCGATAACACCAGCTCTAACTCACGATCTAGCAACAAAATTTATGATGTATTGATTTGTCTCTCGTCTTCCCTTGTCAAATAAGAATACCTCTTAAAGATTGCTCCCATGGCATAGGGCTCATACAACTTTTATGAAGAAATCTATTCTATACAACTTAAATTTATTATTTTGTATCAAAACCTTTCCTAATCATGATAGAGGATATTATTTACAACCGATGATATTGAAATAATTTCAATTGTGCTTGAACCCATTTTTTTTCTTCAAATTTTCACATAAAAACTATTATGCCTCTTGTGATCTACCTTTATATGTATGTGTGTCGGATCTTCATACAAAATTAAAACATTAATCTCTTTATCCACCTGGTTGAATTTTTTAACATGCAATAATATATATTTAGAAATTGATAAATTTGATTGCTCGATGATTTTTTTTTTTGCTCGATGAAAAAGCATGTATAGTAGCGTACGGCGAGACTAGGATTTTCTTAAGAAAATAAATAGATAAACAAACTTTGTTTCATCATTCCTATCATCAAAGATCTATTTAGTTAACTCAATTAAGCATCAAATTATTTTAAATGTGAAAAATGGGTGATAACTAAAAACCCCTAAATATAGGGGGGTGAATTATATCCTCTAATTTAATTAATTTAGCACAACCATAATTTAATCCATAATATGATCATACGTTTGCCAATCAAAGACATATAAGCAAGAGGAATAGCCAAAATCAACTAAGTGTCACAAAAAAATTTATGTCAGAATATACTTATAAGAATCATATAAGAATAATTTTAAAAATTATTAGATTTACTTTGAAATTAATGACGTAAATAATTTCAAAGTTATTTTAAAAAGCACTAAGAAAGTTGTCCCAAACGAAACCTAAATTGAGAAAAATATCAACAAAATTAAAATATTCTAATTAAAATAGAAATTTACTAAATAAGAATATTAATTAATATATTCATAAAGCAATGCTTCACAAGTTTTGGTTTGTAATAATATAGAGCTTTTAAATAAAGAGTCTTAATTATCCAATTAATTTTCATGATTATGTTCTATAAATTAAATGTTCTCTTTCATATATCATACTATGCATCAATCTTTAAATAATATTTAGGGTTCAATTCTTTTTTATTTACAAAACAAAGACATAAATATCTATAGTTATAATAATATCATCCAAATGTCAAAGAGCCAACAATTCAACCACTTATATTTTTCCCTTACATAACATTCTTTATAATACTATCCATATTTCCCATCATTTTTTATATACACTATAAAGATAGCCTCTCTTATAAGTTATAACCCCTAAAATCCAAAAAAATATAAAAAAAAAATCAAAAGATAAATTTTTAACATACAATATAATTTATAATAACTCTCTAATCCTCAGAACGCGTCATGTCTTTCAATACATAACCGCGGTACACAACAAAAAAGTGATGTGACCCATTTTGATTCGCCTCCGGACGACATACGTATCCGCACAAAATAATTTCACCAATAGAGGAGGGATTATTCTATGCAGACACCGGATCATTCGGAGGCAAATTAGAATACACCACATCTTAATTCGTCTCCAAACAATGTTTTATGTCCGCATAGAATAAGTTTTCCTAATAGAGAAATGAAAAAGCAATAAGTTATCTGGGACTGGGAGGCCCACTGCACGAGAAATTATTAGATGTGGATAGCGTACAAAGAGAATCATCCGAATTTCTCTTTGTCTACAGTCAAAGCACATTTAATGTAAAGCTGCGCTTTGACTTTGCTTTTAATATAAACAGAGAAAAATATGGATGATTCTCTCTGTCCGGTATCCGCACCTACTAATTTGGCCCAGTGCACAGTCTAAAGGGCGTAGAGAAAAAGACTGGGAAAGCCTCAATCCATTTTTCCTCCTGCTGTTGTTATTCAGAAGCTGCAGAATGGCTTTGTTTGTAGTATACACTCTCCGTAATCTGCAGTCCACTGAAAAGTCCAGCGGAGAAGAGTTGTAATAACCAAAAGAGCATAAAAATACACTAATGGTCCCCAAGAAATTCAATAAAGGCAAAAAATATGATCTGTTCAGGGCCCATTGGCATCTTCAAGTGATAAACAAGGAGAGATCGATAAGAAAATGAAGGGAAGTTACTGTCACCCTGAGCGATTTAGAGACGCCTTTGCTTCATCCAGTTAATGAGATCCATATCGTTTGATGGCAACAGATGAAGAAGCTTGCTTGGCATATGTTGAATGCTAGAATTCTTAGCAGTGTGGATTGCTTTGGATTGATCGCTGTCATTAATTTTAGGTCGGATTTGAGGCGGATTTGAGCGAAATCAAGCCAAACGGCCTAAAATGCAAAACCAAATCTCATGGCAAAGGAAAGCCGGTGTAGACGGAAAACTCCGCCTTTTCGTTCTAAATCCTGGATTTTCGAAATCCTATTTTTTTCCGGATTTACGAAATTTATTGGCTAGAGAGAGTATGCTCGTTAAATCCGCTCTATAACAAACAGTCATACGTGATTTATTAGAATTTGTCATGAATGTTACGAAATAGTTTTCAGGATTTAGGCCCCTCAAGATTTCCAAAATCCAAATTTAGAAGATTTATGAGAATTTATGAAATTCTACTTAAATCAAATCCTGCAGCCCTAAGTGTAAATTATCTTCACATCGCTACAGAAAAGAAGGCCACATAATTAAGGGCAACTATGACAGGAAACCGGAAATTAACAGGGAGGCAGGTTATGCAATTCTACTATTGAGAAGAGGAAAGTAAGTATTGATAGTAGGAGAAACCATCGGCATTAGGGAGAAAGAACAAGGAGGGTTTTTTGCAGGGCTTTAAGGGGATGGACTCAACCGAAGAGAGGAGCATACCATTCGGTCAATCCAGAAGCAGAGAGAGATAAGAAGGGAAAAATCAGATGAGAACAGAGAGAGACCATCGGGTAGCTGCAAGAAGAGGAAACCATAGAAGAATGAAACCCCAGCGCTAGAAATCCAAGAGGCAAAACTAAAGTATAATCTAAGCTGCAGTTTCATTCCAATACAAGATGAGTAGTCATCAGGAGCGAAATTATAAAAATCCATGCAAATTCTGTTAAAAGAAGGCGAGCAAAAACAAAAACAAAGGAAACTTTGCGTCTTATTAACAATATATTCCTCTTTACAGATACCGCACAACTCAGGAAAGATGGTTTTTACAATGGTTTAACCAAAACGATACTCGTAGTTAGAGAACTAAGCAAAAGGGAAAGCAAAGCTATCTTCTTTCACCTTCATGCACAGACTAGGATAAAGCGTATTTACATCACCGGATTATTAGTTAATGCGGATTTGCCATACTTACTCTTTCCTTTTTTGTTCATTCTCGTCCCATACTTTCTCTACCAGATTCTCAACTTTCAGGTTTGGTTTGCAACACATCTGCTTCCCCCAACACTTGTAATCCATGGATGCCCTGAAATAAGTCAATAAATTCCGCCTTAGATGGTAGAAGAAAATTGCAGATCCAACTATCAACTAATATAATAAATTAAAGAATATTCCCTAAAACAGAGGAAATGAGTTTAAGAGATCGAAGTTGATAGGTAATACTTACTGAGAACTTGCTCGGCGGATAAGCGGCGGGAAACGTCTTTGCAGAGCATCCGGCGGATCAGGTCCTTGGCCAACGGCGAAACCCCGCCGAAAACTCTCGTCGGGAAGCGGAGATTTCCTCGTAGCACAGCATCAAAGATCTCCGTCGCCGTCTCGCCGTAGAAGGGTGGGATTCCACCCAGCATTATGTAGAGGACCACGCCAGCGCTCCACACATCAACCTTCTCTCCATACTCCCTCCCCGCTACCACTTCCGGCGCCACATAGTACGGAGTTCCGACCACTCCGATCATCGGTACCCCATCCCCGAAGCACTCCGCCGAGCCAAAGTCCGCCAGCCTCAGCCTCCCCTCGCCATCAAACAACACGTTGTCCGGCTTCACGTCCCGGTGCGCGACTCCCCGCTGATGACAAATCGCCAAGGCCTCCATAAGCACCGTTATCACCGCGGCCGCATCCGCTTCCCCCATCGGCGCTCCCTCGCATGCAGCAATCCGATCAAAGAGATCTCCACCCTCGCATAGATCCATCACAAGGTGAATCGCAGTCTCGTCCTCATAGACTGCGTGAATCTGGACGACGTGGGGGTTCCCGACAGACGCAAGCTGCGTAATCTTGGCCTCCCGCTCAGCGCACTCAAAATCGACTGCGTCAGAGAGGAGCGACTTATCGACGGTCTTGACGGCAAATATCTCACCGGAATCCGGCGAGTAGCACCGGTAGACGACTCCGAAGCGGCCGCGACCGATCTCGTCTCCGATGCGGTAGTCCCTGTTCAACTCCTCGCTCATTCTTCTCTCTCTCCCAACTTTTTTCCGGTCTCTGTGTCCTCTCTGCACTCCCAACTAGCATTTATAAAGCGAATATCGTCCAGTGGGATCTCCTCAGCATATTCCACGAAATTTTCGGAAAAGTTGTTTTGATCATAGCCGTTGAAACGGAGAACTGCCTATAGTGGGCTTACGATTCCGGCTTTTCCGACAGTGCCCCTTCTCAAATGCGGTGGTTAGGGTTCAAATGGAGGGCATTATCGTCAGTCTAATGGAATAATTCGAAGTTAGACCAGTGCTATGTAATAACTAATAACTACTTATTTATATTAAATTTCTGTTTGAATTCAAATGTATATAAAAAAAAATATTTCAATTTTTATGACTTCAAATAAATAGTCAAAAAAATTAACTACCTAATTTTAATAACACAGCCAACTGAATTCTTCATCTTATATTATAAATTTAATTAATTGTGTTCATTATTTTTTAATATATTAATATAATTATATGTAATAATATATATATTTATATATAAATGATAAATTATAAATAAAAAAGTTATTTTAAAAATAATCTTCTAAATATTTGTATATGAATATTTTGGGTTTTGTTTGGGGTGACTTTCTCCTTGCTTCTTAAAATAACTTTCTAGTCAAAAAATTAATTTTTTTTACTAAAACACTACTTTAAGAAACATTAAGAATGTCGTCCTGAATGAAGTCTTAGGATTTATTTGGGACGGTTTTTTTACTGTTTCTTAAAAAAACTTTTTAGTTTAAAAATTAAAAATTTTATACTAAAAAGCTGCTTTAAGAAACAATAAGAAAAACGTCCCAAATGAAGCCTTAATCTCAAAGTATAAGGTTGCTCCAATTTAGGCTTCGTTTGGGACGACTTTATTACTGCTTCTTAAAGTAGCATTCTAATACAAACTTTTTTATTTTTGTATTTTAAAAATATTTTAAGCACTTAGAAAGTCTACTCAAACAAAATATTTATCTATTGAATATAAAAATTGATTTACCTTTGTCCTTTTAGTTTTTATTTATAATTATAATTTGAGGGATTATTTTGATTTGAATTTATATAATTGATGGTTTAAATTGAGATAATATAATACTTGGTTATATATATATTAATAGTGGAATGAATATTTTGCTATTTTCTGAAATATAAAATATTGATATTTATTTCAAAAATCCAAATCACATTAATAAAATGTGCAATAGCTTTTGTCAATAAAGATCTTTCCTTAGTCCTTACTATCTCAATAAATAATTTCATCAATATTTTCCCTAAATAAATAATTCATCAGCACGAATCTTATAGCAGATCCAAAGTCTCTAAATCATCTTTCACAACTTTTCCTTACTCTGCACTTCTCTTGCAGGATTGTCAATTGCTTTTTAGAGGAAAGCAGGCTGCATTCGGACGGCATCGGTACGGTTTACCGAAAATTTGGCGCGTGTGTGCATTCCATAAAATGTGGGGCCCACACATTTCTGGTCGCGGGGAACATCTGTCACGTGACGGCTGCGGTCATCGCCACGTTTGGGCCCCACTCGCGTCATAAATAATAATTTCATTCGTTAAAATAAAAGTTACGTAATAAGCTATCGGGCGTGATACGTTACGTTGCCTATCTTCCAACCCTCTTTGTTTTCTCTAGTCAAGGGTGTCTCGTATCTATCAGTGGTATTTTAAGTAATAATGGCGATGGAGTCAGATGATATGCCATTATGATAGCATATACGGTGTATTTATATCATTTAAATTGTGCAAATATATTTTATAGGATTGAAAATAATTTTTTGCATTATTAAAACGAAGTTATTGCGCGATGTAATTAGCGTGGAATGAGTGGGTTTAAATCAAGGTTGTGAAAAGAATGAGAGGTTCATGGTTTAACTGATTCGATCAGTCGAATCGGGGTCAAATTGGATGACGTAATAAATAATAATATAATTAAAAGTAATAAAGTTAACATAATAATAATGACAATTTATTCTTAAAAATTTAATAATTCTAAGAATTTTTAGACAAAGAATAAATAAAATTCATACATATATAATATATTACATAATTTTAAAATTAAATATAAATAATTATTATAATTATTTTATATATTTAAATAAATAATTAC